AGCTCCATGGCTGTAAAGTGGGACTCGGTGTTGCCATGGCAACCAGGGGAAAAAAATGTGTATACGTTAGAAGTTATGTGGAGCTGTTTGCGCACCTAGCCTGACTAAAGTTAGCACTCAAGCTCGAGAATATAACCGTGAAAGTGCTCATGTTAATTCTATGATGTTCACACAATGGCTGCCCCGCTTTGCTAACAAATAGAAGAGTAGCCCATAGGAGTGTTAGCCTTGTTCGCTAACTAGAGTACACTTCGCCAAATATTCATCCCACAGCATACAATGTGATTTTGCTATTAGTGTGTTAGCGCACCAAGCCTTGGTAACGCTAAAACCAAAGCTATGCTAACTGGAAAAGGACCCTACAAAACATTCGGCTAACATACATGAATAGCCCGTTTTACTGAAGGCCAACAAACAACTACTAACTATCCTAAGCACGGGCATAATCAATATGTTGCTAGCATTAGCCTTGCTTTCAGGGACAATCCATGCTACAGTCCCCTGAATTGACAGGCGGCAGATGGTCACCTATAGAGTCACTCACATGCATAATACACACACGCCAGCTCAGACAGATGAACAACTGCCACTATGGAGTCAGACTAGACGAGATGAGGCCTTCAGATTGGGTGGGGGTCTGTAATCAGCCATGATGGGTGTTATTCGTGGGGTGTGGGGTAAGTCCATTTCTTACCAGTCCCACTCACAGCTCAGATGGGATCTGACTGCCCGAGACGTCTCAAAAACACAAATTCACAACATTCACAACCTAACAATGAATGGAGGCCAACTCCAGAATCTAACATAGGAGGCTAACATAACAGCTAACATTAGCACTAACGTAGAAGTCAAAATTGGGAGCTAATGTTGGAGCAAACATTGAAGCCAACATTGGAAGTTGATGAACGCTATTCCACGGCCAACTGTTGTTTTGATAAGATGAAGTATCAGTGATGGTTTCCTTTCAATAGAGCAATTATCACACCAACGCTGTATTGTGATATATTTGTTTGCAAAATATCACAATATCATATCATACCACACTTAACAGGTGTATCGATATCAAAATGTATGTATGTACTGCAATCATGAGGCAAAATATCATGATGATATTATCAAATCGTCATTATGTGTTACTGAACCCGCAAAAATGTTTTAGAATTACAGATGGGGGCGTCTACGTGTGCTAAAGGCTAACCTAAGTCCACTTCCTGTTTGCTGCTATTCCACTGAAAGGTCATGGAAGATAAGAGCAGAAAAAGGTAGCGGCAGCACATTTGTTGTCGCGGTCGCGGCTTAACTTCCTGTGCGGCGAAAAGGTCACAACAGACGCCATCGAGAGTCCACTTTGAATAGCCGGAACGCCTGTGAGCTAGCTTGGCATGAATCCATGTGACTTCACTGCTTTGTAGTTTTTTTTACCACAAAACTAATAACTTTTGTTATACTGTGTACACAGACTGTATATACTGGACATGCAGTGCGTCTGGAAAGTATTCACAGTGGTTCACTTTTTCCACATTTTGTTGCGTTGCATCCCAATTCTAACAAGAATTAAATTAACGCCCCACCCCAAAAATAAAAAATAAAAAAATCGACAAACAACACCACGTAAGTATTTTTGACACGCTTGCAATTGTATTCAAAACAAAAAACACTACATTAAATGTGGCTACATTGTGAATACTTTCCAGATGCATACAAAACTGACGCATCAGAGATGTCACCGGAATAAATTCAGGATATTCTGTATCAACTCCAAAGCGGCGTGTTTTCTCTGTGTGAAACAACCTGAAATTAAAATATTGTTAAACTTATTATGGGACACTGTAATAAGTTTGTTAACAATGTGATATCCTGTCCAATGTAGGTTGGTGTATGAAAGAAGAAAGTGGCTCTCCATGGGTGCGAGGTGACATTTTTTTCCTGTATCTCTATGAATGGGATAATACAGCATCATCAAAATCATGACAATCCAAGTGGTGCGAAGTTGTGTTGCTGTCTTTTTACACAAGTAGCTAATGAACTGGTGAAGCAGTTAGCATCCATTCATTCAATTTTTTTTGTTGTTGTTTGTTAAATGTGAGTGTATTGACAACTTGCTCAGTTTTGCTACTTCGTTGTCAGCAAATGAAAAAAATTTACTTTTTCTATTAAGTGTGGGATCAAACCAGGTTAAACAAGTTCCTCAGGAGGTTAGGGGGTGGGGGGGATTCCCAGACCACCCGCCGATTGGGCACCAAAAACTATCCCGCAGTTCTCTAGAAATACGACCTCGTCTTTTTGAGACCCATATTATTACGACGATGATGTATTATTTTCCCTTATAATTTCCACTTTTGCTTCCCTTCTTATTTATTTTTCCGATCCTTCCTCTGTCCTGTCACGTTCTGGTGTTTCTGGGTAAGGTGACATTGTGTGATTCATGCAATCCCGAGGAGCTCAACTCAAAACGTCCAAGATTTGTGGGGTGTTTTTCAATTTAATGTTCCAGTAAAAATTTCAAACAATGAACAATAGTTCATGTAATTCTCACTACTATAACAGCCTCTTACACTAAAAAACAACATTATTACTACTACAACTACTACTACTAACAATTACCACTATACTCCCACTTCCACAACTGCAGTAAACCCTTACAAATTCCTGATTTGGTAAACTAATTTACTCATTTTGGCATCTTGGTACGAAAGTACTACATTGAAGTGAATTCCGTTTTTTTTTACAATAGTGCTTTCTTGCCAGGTTGTGGCGTCTGTGTAGCAAGAAACTATGTTGACGTGAGTTGAAGAGTTTCATTTGTACAAAATTAGTGGTTTGCTGCCACCTTGTTACATTTGGGCGTTAGGAAACAATGCTGAAGTGAGTTGAGGAGCTTCAATTAGACAAAAGTAAAGCTTGGCGCTATCTATTCACATAAACCTTTTTTGGGAGTGGGGGCACTGTACTACAAAGATAATATAGACTGATATAGTAGGTGTAAACACACTATGATACATTACGCTAACAACATAGCAAGAAAAAGGAGTGTCCTATTTCAGCGTATTGACTATGTATCGCGATAAATGGAAGGCCATAGCCGGGATAAATTCACTGCGGAGCACTGAGGCATTCAGAGGCACAGTGTCGAGGGCAAATGCACATACAACTCATGCAAATGGCACTGTGAAGCCTGTCAAGAGGATGGAATCTCCTAAATCAGTGCAAATGGAGGTCGTGCACGCCATATCTAACTGGGGCGTGGATGAGACACTCGCACGCACGCGCACACAAACACGCACACAAATATAGACTAACCTTGTACACTTGTCCATAGGTGCCATTTCCCACCACTTCCACCAGCTCGAAAATCCCAGCAGGATCCTACGTGACGAAACAAGCGCCCACTGATGAGTTAACGGAGCGGTAATTGGGCAAAGGGTGTGTTTGATGCCAAGGCCGCCGGCGCCCGTTCAGACTTCGTGTCTCACACACACACACACACACACACACACACACACACACACACACAGTAGCGGCGGGGATTAGACAAAGAGGAGGCTAGCTACAATCTAGTTGACAAACATCGTTTCTGAATTTAATTTCAAAATAATTCACGGGATTAAACGTGTTTATAATATTCACACTTACCCGCAGGGATGCCAAGTCGATGTCCACCAGGCTTTTAGCCGGAGAGTCGTTCGCCATTTTTAAAGTGGGGAAAAAAAGCCAGGCGAATATGAGCGAAATGGCGTTTTTTGGTTGTTGTTAAATGTCCTTCACGCCAGCGGCGAACGTCTCATCGTCGATTCGTGTTCTTGTTGGGTTAAATCCTCGCCATACGCGGCCCTCCTCTCGTTCTCGTCGCCTCCTCTTTGGGGCCTGCTGCATACCGACTGGGGAGAGTGGAGTGGAGTACCTTCAAAGAGTCTCTCTCCCGGTCCGCATCCTCTTGATTGGCCCGCCCACTCTTATTTCATCCGGAGAGAACCCGGATGTTTTTTAGATGGATGGATGGATGGATGGATGGATGGATGGATGGATAGATAGATAGATAGATAGATAGATAGATAGATAGATAGATAGATAGACAGATAGACAGATAGATAGGATTACAGTGTAATTTACAACACAATGTTATTATAGATAGTGAGGATTACAGTGTAATTTACAACACAATGATATTATAGATAGATAATTTAGTGGTGAGAATTATTGCGTAATTTACAACACAATGTTATCGGAAGAAACCAATATCTCTGTAAACCAGTCAAAAAATTATGTTTTGACAATGATACCAATGATATCAGAATGCAGTGAAATTTTACATCACTATATCTTTGGGAATCACAGCAAAACACGTTAAAGGAATTATATAGTTAATACTTTACACGTGTATTGTACCAGAAAAGAAAATGATCCATGAAAAAGTGACTAAACCCCGTGCATAATGCACACATTAAGTGTGACAACACTGACACCTTGCGGCCATAAGGCGCAGGTGCTCTAATACGTTTGGGAAATTTGAGCTAGCAATCTGATATTTGGTCTTCATATCTACCATGACAAGACCCACAAAATACAGGCTTGGGGTCCTTCAAACTTAGGGAAAACTCAGCCCTTTTAATGTGGTAGACATTTTTTTACCAGGAGATTCGCCCAAAAAGTCTCTTGATGGTAGGTCTGAACAAACACAGGAAGTCAGCCATTTAGGTTTAAAGTGGCCATTTTACGATCATTTTTGCCCATTTGAGTGGATCCTTTTAAAACCGACCACTCAGATTTTTTGCTGCTGGCCTACCAAATTTGAAGACTTTACATTAGATCAATGGTTGGTCAACTTATTGAACAAATGATCACCTAAAAAAAATTGCAAACTAAACAATTCTACAAGCCTCACCATAATGACCTATATTAAAAGATCATAGTGCAGTAGGCCGAGTTGTTCTTCCAAAACAAGGCAAGTTTTATACATAGATATGTGTAAAAAAAAAAAAAAAAAAAAAAAACTAGAAAAATCATGATTTAGTATTATTTATTGGCAATAAAAAATAAGTACAAGATCTCCCTTTACAAATAATAGCAGGGAAATGCAGCATGTTGTAAATCCCACCCATTAAAGAGACAGGGAGATCAAAAACATTTGGAAAGACAAAAGAAAAAGCGCATCTACGGTACATTTAGCCTTTCTCACCGGAACATTCTCTCCAGTCATTTAAAACCACACCGGACCGTAACTTTACAAAAACATTTTTAGCTTTAAATAAGCCACAATTTTCATTTTCACGCATCAGACAGACAGCAAAGAGTGCAAACTAACACGTTTATAAGTGCTTTCGAGTTCAAAAAAATAAATGCTGCTATCGACATTCAGGAAGTCCATCGCAAATGCCTCACATGCGCGTGGTGAGAAAAGTGTGTAAATGTACCGCATAAGCAAAGATGTGAAAAAGGCCTCTGTGTTACATCAACACTGAACAACTCACATTCTAGCATCAACAGTAGTACTGCAACACCAGAGAGAAGAGGAAGGGGCTGCCAAATAGCATTGCACGCCACCATCGGGACTGAATGGAGAAGAACAAATGCTGGTTGGGAGAGCTAGCACTGATATGCAATGTGCCAAGCGCGGAAGATTATGTACATTCGAGTTTTTGCATGTTTTTTTTGTGTCTGTACAGTCAACATGAAATCGAAGAAGAATGCTTATATAGCTACAGAGTTATTACATAAATAGGCTGAGGTTCTTCGGGCTTGTTTGCCGACTAAACGGTTGATGCCAAACAGTGCCATAGCTGCATAATAGCTACAACACAGAGTGGGGGAGTGAGGTTCCCAAAGTAAGGGTGCTGCCTAAATGGGCTGCATCTCGCATCCAAGTAAAACAGGGCCGCTTTCAACCAGAGGATCAAATTTGTCATAAATACTGCAACAGCTGTGGCCATAGATCGAGGTTCCCCAGGCTAGTTTACAGCATAAATGGCCAGCGTTAGCATTTGAAAACAATGTAAAGCAGGGAATTTTACACTAAATATCCTGGTGGCTTCAAACAGTTGCAAGACATCGTGTGGGAATGGGATTGCCGAGGTTAGTGTGCTGCCTAAACCTGGTGTGGTAGCAATTGCAACCAAGTAAAACAGGGGATGTTTTAAGTTAAAGATAAACATTTGTGTTAAATAGCGCAGTAGTCGCTTACAACTACACTAAAGTGGTGGCCAATTGAATGGATTGACGTTCCTCTGGCTACTTTGCTGCCTTAACGGGCTGCATAGGAACTAAAAACATTGCAAACTATGGCTTTTTGTAATTGTTTACTTACACTATGATGGTACTTGCAAGTAGCAGCAAGACAGCATGTTGGAATAAGGTTCTCACAAGCTAACTAAATGGGCTGTGGTAGCAATTGAATCAAGGTACGACAAGGCCGTTTTTTTTTTAAGTTTATACCATAGTAATGCCAAAATTGTATAGTGACGTTCCCCAGACTGGTTTGCTGCCTCGTTTTCTGCCAAAATGGGCTGAAGTAGAAGCCTTACTTGCAGGAAATAGCTGTCATCTTGTTTTCCATGAAATAGAAGAAGCCGCGGCGGCGGCGCATTAGCACACAAAGAATTGGGCCGACAATAACACGCAAATGACTTTTTTTTTTTTTTTTTTTTTAAAGTGACTCGATTGTATGGACTATGCGCAAATGTTGCGGAGGCTCTGAGGGGCGGGGCGGCCCGTCGTCACCGCGGCCTCTTGCGCATGACAAAGATGAGGACCTTTCGGATGGCCAGCAGCCGGTCTTTCAAGGCGCTCATGGACAGGATGGTGAGCTGTGCCCGGTTCTCCAGTGGCAACACGGCCAGAAGCCACCAACACCACGCCGGGCCGCTTCCGCTCGACTGTGCAAAGACACGAAACAACACATTCAGTCTTGCTGCCTAAACGGGTTTTAGTTACAATTAAAACAACATAAAGGAGGACCTTCCTGAACTCAAAGACAACAATTGTATAACATATCTTGCTTACTATGTATGACTACAACACAGTGGTGGAGTGAGATTCCACGGGCTAGTTTGCTGCCTCAATAGGTTGCAGTAGAAACTAAAAAAATGCTTAAAAAAATAAAAAGTAAAAAGGATCATTTTGAACTAGAACTAAAGTAAATTAGGTTTGTATTACATATTGCACTACCTTAATACAAATGAAACTGAAATATGGAATTGCTGGCGCAGTTCTCACCTGGGGGTCCGGGTCTTTGCTCGGCAAGTGTCCAAAGTGACTAACTATTTGCGTTTTCATGTTGTCTTTGAGCGATGTGAACCAGTTGCTGGCTTGTTCGTAGACAGCGTCGTGCAGCTTGAGCAGCTCCACCAGCTCCTCGCCTTCCACCTGCAACATTTGGATTCCATGAAGATGTGTATGTTTTTTTTTAGGTCACCGGACGATTATTGGGACGCGGGCCCTACCTTTTTGTCTTCCAGGTACTCGATTTTGGCAGTGTGATAGCCATCTCTCTGGCCGTGACTTAAGACTTTGAACCGAGACACCCCGATGGTCTCCACCACCGAGCGTCCATCGGGGAAAAACTTCACATCTTGGACCTGGAGAGAAGAGCCCATTGAGTTAGTTTTGTAACACTGGATGAGAGCTGGGTGAATGTTGGCACTCAAGGGCCACATGTTTGTTTGTTTTTTTTTGGGGGTGTGGTGGAGGTCAAACTTAATATGGAGGTCTCATTTTCATTTTAATATATAATCTACGGTAATTTTAACATGTAAATTAAACTATTAGTAAATGAACCAATTATTTGCTAAGAGAGAGACTTTTTACGAACCAATTTGTGGGCAAATGACTGTAATAAACGTTACGGGAGGTGAGCCTCACCTCCAGCATGCATCCGTAGTCGGCGAAGCCTTTAAGCTCGTCGGCAATGCACATGCCAAACTGCTTGGTGCCTGTCTCCATGGAGCGGCGGATCATGAGGCGGTAGCGCGGCTCGAACACGTGCAGCGGACACGGGATGGTGGGGAAGGCCATGGTGCAGATGAAGATGGGCACTTCCTGGTTCAGGCTGCAATGGGAGCATTTCACGAGTGAGTGGCACGGCTTGATATTTGGCAAGGGGGTCACGACGCCACCAGGTGAAAACTCACTTGGAGAGCTCCTTCATCTCCTCCTCGTGGATCTTCTTCCTCTCCTCCAGCTCACTGGCTAAGTAGCGCTGCAGCACCGCTTCCATCAGCAGCGTCTTGTTGTAGCCTCGGGTTGACAAAAACTGATGCGGGCAAAAACAAAACAAAAAAAATCCTTATTCAGTATTGTATATACAATGCTGTGTACGTGCCTGACCCCTGAAAATGACCAGTAGTCACCTCTGAAAGGTTCTCCTTGCACAAAGGGCAGTTGGGGTTGTGGTCCAGGCAGCGTTCCAGACACTTGAGGCAGAAGGTATGGCCGCAAGGCGTGGCCACTGGCTCGTAGAACAGCCTGGAAGACGACAACGACGATGTTTAGAGAAACGTGTGGGAATTCATCCTCCATAGAGTTAAGTGACTGGCCACTCACCTCATGCAGAGTGAACACTCCAGGTCGCCGCTGTCCAACAGGTCGGCGGGAACCACTCTCCCCCCGCATGCCGGCGCCAGCTTGACGCTGCTCGACTCGCCTGCAGAAGGAGACGGCCATTTTAAAATCCAGAGCTACTCTTCCATTAGGGCTGGCAATGTATGGCCCACTTCATTTTTTTTAATCCAGCCGCCTGAGAATTTGCAAAGCGCGTCATGTCATATTTGCTTAATTTTGATGGATTTCCCTCCCTTTTTTCCGTTTTGATTGTCACATTTCAATGTTCAGTTGTGAAGTTACCTACCACATTTGAGATGCTTGGAGGGAGGATTGAAGAAGCTGTCATCACTCTGCTTCCTCTTAAGGCCAGTGGGTGGCGCTGGTACAGAGGCCAGGACGTCAGCCAGGCTCTTGCTGTTGGTGCCACTTCCCTCGGCTACTGGAGCGGACAACTTCCACGGGCTGGAAGAGGACTCGTCCGGCAAGGCGCTTTTTGTCATGCTCGTATCAGATTCCTGTACAGAAAAAAAAAATACTCATTATGAAGGACAGATTAGCAGTTCTGAATCAATAAAATATAGCTTTTTTTGTTTAAAAAAAAAAAAAAGCAGGAACTGATAAATCTGGTAAGTTTCAACTCTCATCTTGAAAATCTCTTAAATTGAGTCACTCCTAAATGTTGGTACCACTGCACATGTCACAAGTCTAAAATCAAATATAGTTTCTACTTTTTTTTTCTTTTACCTGCGAGGACGACGCAGGTTTCTGCGTGAGGGGCCTCAGGGTCCTCAGTAGGGCGGGGGGCTTGATGGGGCGCGAAGCCACCCCACCCTGGAGGGGGTGCAGAGGCGTGGGTATGTCTTGGTTCTCGAACACGGAGGAGAAGAGCTCGGCGAGGACCTGCGTCGAAGGAAAGACTTGAGTACGGCCAACGCAACGATGGACGAAAAAATGGGATTGACGCCAGGATTACCTTCTGAGCCTCCAGTCTGACTTTGGTCCAGTTAGGTTTGAGCGCCACGCACAGAAAGTACTCCTGCAGGGCCTCATCGTTACGCGACGCTTTGCTCAGCGTGGTGGCCTTCAGGTAGTGAGCCTACAAACACAAAGACAAACAAATGACACGTTACAGAAGAAGATGTATTTTATTGAGGAATCCATCTGCACAGAAAGAAGGTCTCTTCTTTCACTTCTTGTGTTTTCAACAACTGGATGCAAAACGGTACGGTCCCATTGTGTAAAAAATAAAATAAAAAAAATACATTAAAAAAAAAAACCGGAAATTGATGGAAGTACTGTTACAATGTGAAAAAAGGTAAACATTTGGAAACAGGAAATGGAGATACAAGAAACAATTCTAAATGTAGAGAAATGTAAAAATAAAAAAATTGAAAAAAATTATGGGGAAAATAAAAAAAGGTACAAATAAGACGAAAGTTGATAAAAGTAAAAACGAAACACTTTGAAATTTATATTACAAATTTAAAAAAATACAACGAAAAAAGAAACTAATGAAAATATGAAAATGTAAGTAAAAAATTAGAATGAAAAAATGGGAAACTACCAAATGAAAAAAAAAAAAAAACAATAAAAATGATTCAAAAATTTGTCTTAACATTACACTCGCATGTTAGCAGTCAAATGACAAAATATTTTTTCTAACAGTTCTTCTATCCCCGAATGCCACGGCGATGTTTTCCCACCAAGCTTGCGTCCGTCTCACCTTTGGCCAGAGAGGTTTGATCTGGCACAAGCTGCTAGCGTCCTGCACTGCCCGGCTCACGTTGTTCATCTCCATGTGCAGTTCAGCCCGTTGGCACAGTAGGCGGCCTGTAGATGGCGCTGCACGCACAAACACACAAACGAGAACTGCAGGTCAAGTGGCTGCACAAGTAGGCCAGCTGCCACTTGGAACGTGACATGAAGGGTGTCACGTGGACAGCAAAAAAGGAAAAAAAGGCAAGCCTATCAGTAGAGCTACTGACAAGCGTTTTTTGCTTTTATTGGTCAAGCCACATTGTATTAAAGACAACAAACGTGGCCTACCAGTGAGTCTCACCAGGAAGGACAGTGAAAACAACCAGGCAATAAGGAAAGGAGCAAAGTTTGGCTATTGTTAGCCGGTGCCTGTCATAAAAGCGGTGATTTATCCACATGTGAGAAACTCGAGGCGTGTGCAGCCAAACTGCATACATATGGCTGAGGTTGCATTTTGACGTGTTCTCAATCGTTTGTCCAGTTCATTTTATGATGGTTAACTGTTAAACAATTTTTAAATGTTAATATCTGCTTTAAGGATCATGTTGACATACAATTGCGTTCCAAAGTTTGTGGTCATTTAGAAATGCCCTTTCATATTTTTCTAGCTAAGCTAAAATGTAATCAATCAGGAATACAATCTAGACATTGTTAATGTGCAACACAAAGGTGCGTTTTTCCCCATATAGAAGGACATTTCCAAGTGATCCCCGACTTTTGAAAAGATTCAATTGTCTGGTTACCCCACATTTTTGAACAGCAGTGTACATGTCATGTTTTGACACCTTTTTTTTTTTTTTTCCTGTGGCTAATAATGCAAGTTTAAGATTTGGCACTTGTATCCGATAGCGGATCAACTGAAAATCACGTTTTCGACCCTGATTTCCGATCACATGATTGGATCGGAACATTCCAAGTAATACGTGTTAAAATAAACAGCGTTTCAATTGTTGTTTAGAAGGAGAAATAAAACAAATCCAGAAGGGGGGTGGGGGGAAGTAAAAATGTGATTTGCTTTTATTAAAGTGAGAAAGTTCGGTGACTAAAAGGTAATTCACCCAGCCCTTATGTTCTATATTACATAAAGATGAATGGAAATTAATGGAGAGCCTTTTGTTGTTCAACGAGAACGATTCAGTGGCTCCATAATGTGGCATGACTGTTTTGAAATGGCTCCGCAAAGCACAGAGAAGCTTCCCAGAATCCCCAAAATGGAGACTGTCATTTGATGAATGAGCGGCAACGTCTGCGGCTGGCATGTGGCGCGAGTAAAATGACAGGAGGCGTCGTATGTCGCTGCAATAGTCGCCAAGGCCAGCCCGACTGCTTCCATCCCAGCCACCACAGTCGTGCCTTTTGCCAGGCAAACAGTCAATCGGTGTTGTCAACAGACGATCTCCCAGTTGGGCACGTAACACGGCTTCGGAGTCGTTCTCATTTCCAGGTGGAAGTGAATTTTATGTGCAGCACACTCAGAAAATCCTTATCAGAAAACTGTCCCCCAAATATCCAAATCACTTTCGCCCAATCCGGGTAAAACAGTTTGTGCTCCCTGGACAAAGTGAACTTTAGCAAGCCCACGTGTGACTCATGCTCTGCATCACAGCTACATGGTTACATACCACGTCCAGAACCGTGACCTGAATGTTATTCAACGTGCTAGCACTTATGAAACATTAAAGTCTTACACATGCGTCGTCCTTTTATGCGAGAATGAGGCAACTTAAAAGCGCGGGTGCATAATAGTATTTAATAAGTGTGACTCTTGCCACGGCAATACAGTATTTATGACTTCATTATGACGCACGTCTTGTACCGTATTACTGTGTCACTGTTGGAGACGCTTTCAGAAAAAACATTTGTACAGACTTGCTTTTGTCTTGTATTTAATGTAAAATGTTGGCGAGTCTATCGTCATCGAGTGAGGCACTTTGTGACCCATCTGTGTGAAATGCGACGAAAAATATTGACTTTCATTCGGTTGAGCATGTATTTAAGTTTCTATCATTCTGTTTAAGTCGGTAAAGAAATTAGATATGCAACAAGAGAAAATGGTGGATGAGTTTATATGAATGATTCTGTATTTTAACTATGTGAAGCACTGCGCTGAGAGTCATCTCTTCATCACAAACTACAAGTAAAATTATCTTGACTTGTGTGCTTGTTGGGTAATAATGAGGGCCAATTCATGTAACGTGCTCGTGTGTGTGTACGTGTATGTGTGTGTGTGTGTGTGTGTGTGTGTGTGTGTGTGTGTGTGTGTGTGTGTAGCACACACTAGTGCCACCAGCTGGTGACACCCTGAAGCGGGCTGGGTGAAAGTAGGTCACCTGTTGCAAAGAATAAAACATTTAAAAGTTTCTTGTCCCTTACCTAATTCCACCGCCTCGTCGTATTTCTGCAGGGCCTCCGTCAGGTTGCGGCTCTGCCGCAGCACCTCGCCGTCGATCCACAGCCGACGTGCGCGGCTCTCGTTAGGGAAGAGTTTGTCCAGCAGGCCGCCGAGCACCACGTCCAGCCGGCGGCCGTTTGGCAGGCCGTCCTTACGGGCCAAAGCTCGCTTGCAATGCACGCAGTCCGTCACCGTGTCGGGCTCCAGGCAGCGCCTGCAGAAGGTGTGCCCGCACTCCACCGTGGAAGGTTCGTGGAGCAGACACCGACACAACCCGCAAGAGAACAAGTCCAGTCTGTCGTTTTCAGTGCTTCCCCATTCGGCGTCCTCGTCTTCTTCCCCGCCGGCAGCGCTCCGGAGGCCCGGCTCCTTCTCTCGGAGGCCCCGGGCGATGCTTTCCACAAGTAGCGGCAACTCCTCCGGCCGCAGTTTGCCCAGGCTGGCCGCCGAGCAGTACGAGTCCAGCGCCTCGGAGATCCGTCCGGCGCGTACCAAGGAGTCGGCCTTGCGTAGGCACAAGCCCCTGTCGGGTTGTTGAAGGTCGGCCAGCTGCGAGCTGTAGATCTCGGCGGCTAAGCTGAAGTCCCCGGCTCGGGTGGCCTCCTCCGCCACCTCCAGCATCTCGGGGCAGATGCCCGGAGCGGACGGGTGGGAGAGCGGGTGCACCAGCATCTCAACCTCCATGATTAAATAAAGAATCTATTTAACTATTAAAAAAAACCGAAAATACGATTTAAACGACGAATCCCATCTCCCTGCCGTCCAACCGAACACCCAAATGTGGTCGTGTACGTCCCATTGGGAGTGAATTCTGATTCGTTCTGGATTCAACACACCGGATTCTTACGTGCCCATTATTCTTCTTCTTATTATTTGACACGAGTAAAAGAAGCCGGTGAGGTTTGGCCAATATAAAGCTTAAATTTATATCCACGTCACTCAGCAATGAAATAAAGAAAAAAAACGAACTGTGACGATAAATTAAAGACCGGTATAATTAAGCAGATTTACGCGTACATTTTCCTCCGGCTGCTGTTGTTTTTAAATAGTTAGCTAACAGCGAGCTACCGCCGACCTAGCCACTCCGATCACACACACCGAGCGACGTCCACCAACAAATCCAGACTCCCGAACGACTACACAATTCGAACGTTATCAAAACGCTCTCCTTGATGGGTAATAAAACAAAATGAATACATAAAAAATAGAAAACTCGCTTTTTTTCTTGTCGATTCTCCACAGGTAAGTTTGCCCGGACGGTTCAGACGTCGACCCCGGCGAGAATCTGCTTGCTGCTAATTTGCTGCCCGACGAATTTGCAGTGGTCCTATTCGCTTAAACGAGTCACGTGACGTGAGAGGAGCTCCCTCATTGGCTGGCCGCATGTCCCACTTATATAACGTGCTTGTGTTGTTGTATAACCCTTCTCTCGCCGTTGTGCGAATGGCAAACACAAGGCACACGATTACACATATGTGCATACATATTTATAGATATATATCACACATCACATTCACACGAGGTCATTAAAGTCTCGGCATATAAAATATGTGTAAGGATCACCCCAAATGACGACACGCGGCGCTCTCACTGGGCTCGTTTAACTATTTTATGTAACGCTTTTATATAAGCAGCGTTACAAGTGCGGCTGTCTTTCTGGAGCATGTTGCTGTTGCATATACTTTTTTTATTATTATTATACAAGTGGACACTCACGCACGCACGCACACACACGCGCGCGAATACACACACGCACACACAAAGTTCCAAGACAAACCGTGACCCACTTAGTCATTGTGCAACTAAATCAATGTTACGTGGTCGTTAACTAACGTTGGCCGGAGCCCACTTTTCGCTGGCTTGTGCAATTGAAATCAACCAAAAGACCACAATATTCTCAAAATTCCCAAGAGAAAGTCCACAGAACATCCATCACCGCAAAACGCATAGTCAATATCAACATTCCACACAAAAATGAAGTCTTTTCGACTTGCACAAGTGGGCACACCCTATAACTGGCCGTGTGGCTGTGTCTGGAATCAACCAAGCACATGCAACCTCGTGTTCAGTGGGAGTTAGCACACACCTGCCACCATTTTTACAGTACCTCTCAATGTTCTGAAAAGCCTACTAGAACATCTGAACTTTTTTGAGGTAAATCAAAGGCATCTTAAATGATAACAGATGTGTGCTGACTTCAATTTACCATCACTTTGGAATGTGACTGGTCAACTCTGAACACAGCCACATCGGCAGTTATAAGAGGGTGTGCACACTTGTGCAACTACAATATCACAGTGATTCTTCCTGAAAGTATTTCTTTTTTTGCCACTTGAGTTGTACAGGTGATGAGTCCCAATGGTGGAAAAACCTTTGAAATGGTACCGGTAGCCTCTCCTTCTTAATTTCTTCCACTATGCAACTTAATAGCATGCTATGTATTATGTGTGTGTGTGTGTGTGTGTGTGTGTGTGTGTGTGTGTGTGAGTGTGTGTGTGAGTGTGTTCACGTGTTGACTGCACTCTCATGACTCAACTCCCCATGGAGATAGAGGACAGGTGTGTGTTGCCGTGTGCACTGAATGGATTCACAGTCACATGTTTCTGTGGCTTATTTGAGTTACTTCGAGATTATTGCTGTAATTTCTGCTCCCAGTAGTTTACGCCACTGAACATTTTGCTCAGGAGTGCCTCACAGTCAAGAAGTCCCATGTTGGAAATTTTACACTTTGCTTTTGTCTTTTTTGTTTGTTTGTTTGTTTGTTTTTTTTTAACAGCCGAAAAAAAGTTTTGGCCTTCCAGAACTCTGCGCCACTGAATATGTTCTCCCAATATTTTCACGACTCCCCGAATTTTGTGGCATCACCAAAAATCGTGCATCTCCCCAAATTTGCTTTAGTTAAGGTCGTTTAAACCATTTCCATCATCAAAATTTCTAAACTATTGTTTCGTTTCAGTATGTTCTTTTAGCAATTGTAATAAAGTAGTTTTAATTTATTTACTTTGCTTTAAAACGTCTTGAATTCATTTGTTTGAAAATGCCTTTAAATGCTGCATTTTTAATTATGTGAAGCACATCGAGTTACCTTGTATGAAATCCGCTGTACAAATAAAGCTGCATTGCCTTGCCTTACACATCCCCAAATTTTGCCGCTCCAAAATTTTGTTGCTTTGAAAATAATTTGCCTTCTGATATTTTGTCCCTTTCTAAGTTATACAACTCAGAAATCTTGTGCATCTCAACATTTCATCCTTACGAATATTTGGTGCCTCCCAAAACTTTGTGAAAAATCTGAAAATTGTACTCCTACAAAATCTTCCAAATATGTCACCTCTCCAATTTTTTTTTTTTTTTTTTTACACCTTTTCAAAAAAAAAAAAATTACTACTACTGGAATTTTGTGGCCCGGAAAATGTTTTGCCTCTTCAAATTTTGCTAACACGTGCCACCAGGTGGCAATGTGAGCTCCGTCTTTTACATTCAATGTTCATGCCTGCTACAATTGGCTGGAAAACAGTTCAGGGTGTCCCCGGCCTTCTGTCCCAAAACACCCGGGATAGGCTCCAGGATGTCGTCAACCCTCGTGAGGAGAAGCGGCTCGGATAATGGATGGATGTTTACGCCCAATGATCTACTTCTTTTCTTTCGACCACTGCTACTTAATAATCGTCATCAATAATTCAATACTATTCATAACGCTAATGATAGAGCTGTCATTTATTTGCCTGAGCGTTGAAGGTTATTTTTAGTGTCATTAGTTCCTCCATAAAACAAGATTGCAAATAAGGTACTGCAATGCTCACTAGTCATACACACAAAATGAAATTATGAGTTGTGCTTTTGACCTTTGAGGCATGTGAAAGGCCTTCACTGCCGCCCATCCAATCGCCCACATGTCACCCATTCACACGCCGCCTGTCGTGTGGCGAGGTCGCCTGTTCCCAGCGAATTCGAGTCAGAGGTGAAAGTGTCTTTAATTGGCCAGTGTGTCGCACAGGACCTTTTCAGCAGCTTGACGATCACGTCAAAGAGAAATACTCTGAGTGTGACTCGGTCATGATGATTTCCTCTTAATGACCACTGCACTTCTTGCATGTGTGCTGCGATGCGCATTGTACCTATGAATGGATGACAAGTAGCTTCAAGTTTGCACGAGACCTCTCAAAAAATTGTACCTCCCATTCCATGCCTCTCCAAATTGTGAGCCTCACAAAATATGATACCTGCCAATCTGGTATACTTTTGTGGCTCCCAAAAACTTACCCCCAAAAATGTTTTTCACCTTGCAAAATGTTTACAGATCTCAACATTTTGTGCCCCTCAATCAGCATTTTTGATGGAGCTCCTTCAGCGGTGTGCCTAATGAAGTGTCTCCTTACTTAGGGAGTGCGCAATACAAACATGCAATATGTAGTTTTCATCGAAGAAAACTTTGCTCGTCTAAAAAATAAAAAAAAGTTTTAATGCAATATTTTGTGATCGAATCAAAACTTTATGAGAAGACTGTAATGCAATTGGCTTTGATCCGGGCCTTCATACTCTGTACAGTAAACCGGCAGTGTAGGAACATTTGTACACTTGTCGTTTGGAGCAAGAAGTTGATACAATCGATGTAAAAAATGTGAGATAAGTAATAGGAAAGCCCATGTATCAAAAAATAAGACATGAGCTAAAATACAGCCTGTATGTCCAAAATGAGGCTAGCCAAAGACAGCAGACCATCGGAAATGAGACAATAAAACAGCCCATGTGTCAAAAATCAGGCAGAAGCAATAAGACACTTCATGTGAAAATGAGACACAAAACAACAGGAAAGCCCATAAATAATAATAAAGACAGATGGTCCTTATGTCAAAAATGTGAGCTAATCTTAAAAACAGCCCATATGCCAACAATAATACAAAAGCAAAAATGAGCTATAAGCAAAAAAGACATCCCATGTTTCAAACATGGGCTCAGCTTTAAGACAAGCCATGTATCAAAAATGAGACACAACCAATAAGACATCCTAATTGTGTGACGCTGGATCTCATTTAGATGATTCGCCATGAAAAGAAAGGGCGCGAGGTTCTTTATCGCAGGAGTTGTCGTCATGTTGTAGGAAGGCTCTCCGGGTCGCAGAGCATTTTTTACGACGTCTATCAAGTGCCGACGTTAGCCGCACGTCGATGCCTTCTGGCTTATTACGACCATAAGTCAGCGCACTTGCCCGCCTTTCCGTCAGGCGGTCGCACCCGGGAGCGTTAAAAAAAAAAAAAAAAAAAGGACAAAAACGCGGCCATAGGATTCACCAGGGGGCGCCACCCTTAATCTAAAATTTGCGCAGAGAAAAAGAGTTGAAGATATATACCGTATACAGTACTGCATATGTATCATATCTGTAGAAGCCTAAATATGACGTTGTAAAACATGTCCAGGTATGTCCATGGTTACATTTTTACGTCATACACACACGCTATTGATTGGCACCGCCAATAAGAGCGCGCTGTAAAAAAGTTAACGACAAACACATAAACACACAAACATGGCAGATACGGGATGATTGTTCTCCCTTTGCTTCACTAATCGCATTTCTGCCACACGGGCTGTTGTAGTTTTCCTCATTATTGATACAATTATTGCGTGTGTCTTTTTGAGTCTCATTTTTGACACATTGTTAGCTTATACATAGATAGTTAGGTAGCTAGCTAGCAAGATAGCTAGATAGATAGACATGGCAAAAGAAGTGTCTATATGTTTGGCTAGTGAAGACAAAGGTGTCTTTAGTCAGATGGAACACTGGCATTAAGGGTTTAATTATGTTTGTCCCGACAATGACGACAAACGTGCGACCTTTCCATCAGGAAGGAGAAGCCAGACCCTGGTTGTAATTGCCAAGGTTGTTCAAGGTCACCCAGAGTGTTAGAAAATAATAGCATCCAGCACCAGTTTGTCAAATTAAGACCAAATCCAACATGCTCAGGTTGTCATTGCCATTTTGGTTTGAAAGTGCTGTTGGCTGGGATTTGGGCCATCTCTAGGGATACTTTGAATGTTGCTTGAATTAGCCCCTCAAGCTAAAAAAAAAAAAAAAACTATGAGAGTTGACTAATGGCTACCAAATTTGAACCTGGTATCCCAGACAGGTTGCTGGTATTACAAGATATTTTAGTTTTGGACATTGCATATAGGCGGAGCTCTGCAACAAAGTTAGATGGTTTGCCGTGAAACACGAAACTTCCTCCAGAGTTTTTGAAAATATTAGCATCTGGAAAAACTGCGTCCAATTGATACCCAATCCAGCGCCGATCATACGGGAATAATTGTTTATCATGTATATCTCGAGGAGGTGTCTCGCGGCATGCATTAGGATTTGTGTTATTACGATGCGTGACACATACACTTTTTACCTGTTGTGACGTCCATCCTGATCAAATGTCACGGGTCAATCAGCTTAATTTCCCAGAAAGGGGCGTGACCGGTGATCTAGTCATCAGAGTGGGAAGATCCTCTAAAGGGAGGAGGAGGACTTACCACTCACGCATACATCCAGCGAGAGAACCCAGCAGAGAGCGCACAAATCGGACAGAGAACTTTGGAAAATCAAAGCAAAGAGAAGGAAAGAAAGACTTTGACAGCGGAGACATGACCGTTCCACAACTTGCACTTTTCTGTCTGTTCTGCTGCGGATGTTGGCGATCCACAGGTAAGATTTTTTTTTTTGGGGGGGGCGGGGTGATCACAGTTGTCTTTCATTTTGCAGTCAGAATATGACATGAAGGATGATTATTATGGCTTGAGTACTAAGATTTGTGTTTTTTGGTTTTGTTTTGATCCATTTTTAACACGATACAGATACATAAAAAGTGCTTGAATGAAGTATTTTTGTTTTTTTTTACATGCGCAATATACTAATCATTTTAAAAGATGATGAGTGACATGCGATGGAAAAAAAAAAGAAAGATTGGTTGGATATGGGTGATTGTATTTAGTTCTTTTTTTGGAGTACTTGTTTGTAAATATACATATAAAAGGTTACTTTAATCATTTTTAATTATATAATTTAACAATTATGGTTTGAATGCCAGTCTCTTTTTATTATTTTTTTTTTATTTGTTAACCATTATATATTTAAATGCATTTCTTTAAATGTGAATACATTTACCAAAATAAAATTGAGTGACAGCTACATTTTTTTTTGCAATTATTTTGATACATTTTGGCCTGCAGAGTGCTGGCAATTTGATCAAATGACATACATTCAAAATCATCAAGGTTGTAAACAATGCTGAATTATCATTTCAAAGATCAAAAACAATGTGGTGACGTGTGCTTTTCATTCAGACGCTAGTCATATCCAGAGATTGGAAGATGAACTTCTCTTCAGAACGGTGATGTTTAGAGAATATTCACATTCCATCGATTCACATTTCAGGATCTTTCTTTCTTTGCCTCAAATTTAACCAAAGTGCTGACATGCAGTTGACATGTCGTGTGTTGATTCGTTTTGTAGGTTCGAGGAGATGAACCCGCTCAACTCTCACGGAGAGACGACGACGAGGTTTGTTACTTGAACGCAAACCTGCGTTCCAGACATAAGCCGACAAAACGGTCTAAATCGCGTCTCTTTTCAGCACCAGCAAGTCCAGAATCTTTTCAAAAGGGTAAGTTCAACCACTTTTGAAGTCCTCTTTACTTACTTGCCCGGAAATGGCCAAACTGATACCAAATTAGCCACTTCTTGGGCGGAATTTTCGAAAAAAATTCAAAGGACCTCTAGAAATCATTTAAATGATCTTCAAACCAAAATGGCAGACATTTGCTCGGCATGATTTCTTCAGACTTTCTCGTGGGTCTCATCATGACAGACATGCCGACCAAATGTAATGTTGCGAAGCAAAACTCGCATCAGGGACTGAATTTTTGGCTTCTTCAGACTTTTTTTGTGGTCTGCTTATGATAAGACGTGTTCACCAAAAATCATGCTGCTGAATCAAACTGGCTTTGGCATCTCAATTTGAAGGACGCACAGAAACGAGTCAAATCACCAAACAAGACTGCTTTAAACCAAAATGGCTGACTTCCTGTGTCTTTTTGGGCATGGCTTCTTGAGACTTTTTTAGTGGGTCTGCTCATGATAGCCATGTCTACCAAAATTCATGTTGCTCAGAGTAACTGGCTTCAGGGGCTGAATTTTTTATTTTTAAACAAGTTCTCTCACCCCCAGTTCCTGTTTCATTATTCAAAAGCGAGGACCTCTGCTGACCCAGAGGAGAACATGGTGAGCAGTCCGGACTGGTCCAGGATAAGAATTTGTGATTATGTATCGTAATTGGTGGCGTTTTCTCCTCCAGTCCGACTCTGTTCACCCTCTGATGCGACTTTCGCCGAAGCTGTCTCAGCGGAGGAAGAAGACGGTGGTGCTTCTGGTAAGACAAAATGTCCACTTGGCACTTGACGTTATTGACTCCAATTGCCTCTGTGTCTTTCTCGTTCTGCAGAATATTTGAGATCGGTCACCGCGACATCGTGCTTGACCAAACAAAACAAAACAAAAAACGTGAGGGCTCAGCTCCGTATGTTACAGTGCGGACAAGGCGTTCCAGGTGGAATGACGGCGCGCTCGAATGCTTGTGAATGTGACTCAGACGTGTTGCACATTAAATACTCGCACTATGGCTGGCCTTGGCTTTTATTTCACCGAAAAAGGCGAACATGAATGATTCATTGTTCGCATGATTATTTCCCTGCTAGAGGTTTGGCCGGTTCAAATTGGAGGTTTCCATGACGACAGTTTTAACATGTCAACATACTTTTTTTTTTTTTTCAAATACATTGAAGTGGATGGAGAATTTTCACTCCCTGGCGTGAGCACTTTCTTGTAACACAATGTTTAAAAAAAATCACATGAATACAATAAAGCAGTGTCGATTTTTCTACATACTTTAAATATATTTCTAGAAACAGTTGAAGTTTGTCATTTTAAAAAACGTGTCAATGTATTTAAATAATTGGATATTTATGAACCAGCAAAAAAAAAAAAAAACAAGTATTCTTTTCGACTTTTTTTTTTTTAACAGAGCATTTCAAAAGCACTTGACTTTGAAATACTTGGCTTCGGTTCAATTTGGACTTTGCATGCTCTCCCCGCGCCTGCGTGGGTTTTCTCCGGGTACTCCGCTTTATCCCCACATTCCAAAAACATGCACGGTAAGTTGACTGAACGCTTGAAATTTTCCGTCTGTGTGATTGCAAGTGCGAATGGTTGTTTTTCTGTGTGTGCCCTGCGATTGGCTGGCAACCGGTTCAGGGTGTCCCCCGCCTACTGCCCGAAGACGGCTGGGAGAGCCCGTGACCCTCGTAAGGATAAGTGGATCGGAAAATGAATGGATGGGTGGGTGATTTTTTTGGGGGGTTGAGGGGGACACTAGTTAAAAGTATTTTTTAAATGCCACTTGACAAAATGTTTCTTGTGAGTGAATTTAAGTCAAAAGAAAGGTGTAGATAGAAATACGGTATTTAATGTACATTTGACTGAGCACATGATCGTGAACCCGGCTGCCAGAGGTTTAGGCCGGTGATTTAAATAAGGTAGGAAATTAAAAAAAAAAGAAAGAAAAGGTGGCGAGTGGCGGTCTTAATCTTCATCTGAGTCGTCGCTGTGGTTGCGCGTGGGGAGCGAGCACCTGATGGACGACATCATCTGATCGTGGATCTGCTTGTGGGGGTTCTCCTCCAGATCTGTCTTGACGGCACCAGACTCGGACAGCCTCCACTCCAGCTCTGAAAGCAAACACACAGCATTTCAAAAAGATACTCCACGTAACTATCATTTAGTATTCTGTTGATATTAATCTAGTCCAAGTACTAAGAAGCACTGTACTCTCACATTTGTTTTGTTTTTTAAACACAATTGCCTAAAAACTTCAAAAGAACTGTACTTGTATAATTGTTGGAGGAGAAAAAAAAAAACAAAACTGTTTGTCCACACGCTGACCTTCTAGCGTAAGGTTCATGCCGCCGAAGACGAGCGGGCCGATGAACTGCGCCTTCATGTTGCCCTGGCAGTAGACGAAGATGGTGGGCAGATTTTTGTCGGGGTAGTTGGCGATGCAGGTGGTGGAGATGGACTTGAGGAACTTGGTCTGAGGGAACTTGCGGGCCAGCGCGCCCATGTGCTGGTTGATCAGGGCGCACAGGGGGATGCTGGTCAAACAAACAACTTGGTTTCAATTTCCGTTTGGTGAAAAGTGCGCAGCAGGCGTGGCCGTCGTGACTTACCCCTGCTTGTAGAGGTGCAGCACCACCCAGATGCCTTCTCCTGCCTTGTTGACTTCTTTGACGTAATCCTGACCGGAGATCTCCATCACTTCCCCAAACACGTCCTTCATCTGCGACGACTTCCACTCGGCCAGACGCTTTTGTCTGAACGCACACACGCAAACGGTGTTTGGCGGAATCTTGTTTTTTGTATTTGCAACTGCAGCAACATAAACATCTATAACCTCGAGAGCGTGTGCGTGTGTGTGGCGTTCTTACGCTCACTCTGAAACAGGTTACTATTGCTTTTGGGGAACGGCGCTGTTATTTTGTCCTATACCGCCCTCTGCTGTTGACTGAAAGTGACATCACAGTGCGAACATCGGGTGTGAACAAACCAAGAATAGAGGTGAGCTGTGCGTGACATTCTCAATGAGAGCACGAGGGCACGTTGATGTCAATTTTAGTCAATAGCAGAAAGCAGGACAGGACAAAATATCAGCGCCTTTACACAAAAGCAAAATTAAGCAGACTACTGTGTTTACACTTGTGGGAGGCACATATGAATATATTATGACAAATATACATTTTTTTTTGCCTCGAGTTCCTTTTAATATGCTGCCCACCGTGAGAACATCTTTCAGATGGAAGTCAACACGTCTAGGCGCAAGGAAGGTTGACATTAAGAGGAATGCGATGTGTTGCCTCTAAATAAACACGAAAGAGTTTGGGATGGCTAACAGTGGCGTCTTTTGGGCTCACCTGTACATCTCAATGGCTGCCTCATCATCCTCTTCAAACTCATCTTCGTTTTCCTCCAGCTCCTCCAGCGTCATGTTCTCATACGTTTTCACTGAACAGAAGAGGACACGTGATGGTAAGCGTAGAACCTGAAAATAATTCCACTTTAATGACCTGATAATAATTACATTACACAACCTGTATAACACTACAAATATTTTATTATTCAATGAAAAATTAAAAAAATAATATTTCACAAATTTAAAAAATAGATGTTTTTTTAAATAAAGTCATATTACCATAGAAAAATTAATGTAGAAATCCCTTCATAAAACACTTCAAGAAGATAACATTTACACGGTTTTCAGTTGGCGGATTGATAATTGTAATCTGTCGCCCCCTGCTGGCTAACACATGTAGGTAGTGCAGCTTTAAGTCATTACTCCACTCAAGTATTTTCTCCTCTTAAATCAGCCGATAAGAGGTTAAAAAAACACTTTTACCGACAGACTGCTGCTGGAGAGCCAAGTCTTGCTCCTCCTCGTCATCTTTCGCGACCTCTTTCGGTGGAAGAATCCCCTTTTTCCTGAGAATGTCATTCCATTCGGTGTCCTCGTTGGGGTCCTGTAAGAAGAACCATCACGATATTTCCATAAATGACAAATGACGCCCACCAAAAGCTACATTTCCATCGACTTGTTTACAAGAAAACACGTAGAGTGCTGAAGCTACATACTGAGGTAACTTTGAGAAAACACTCCGGGTGACAACGACTGTTACGTTCAAAGACGATTTACCGTAGACAACGACTTCAACAGTAAACTGAATTTTTCTAACCTGCATTTTGTCACACAAGTTTCCCCAAAGAATCACACCACTCCTTTAGAAAGACCGGAAACGGAAAGAGGGAAGCCAAAAAAGTACGGTCAGAAACAAAAAACGATCTTTTTCCTAGCACACGATTGATTTTATTGGAAAACAAAAAAAATCAAAATCATACGTGTTTCTTCCAAAACCCACTATTAAATGTTTAGTATCAATTATAAAGCTGAACAAAGCATTCTCGTTTGCGGTAAAATAAAATAAATTCAAGGGGACACTAATAAGCGTGGCACCGATTTCCGCTTTAGCCTAAATATATCCATATTAGGAATGGCAGGCTGTCGTTCCATTTGTGGCTGTCGAGAATGTCATTGAACAGGTGCTACACACTTCATGCTATGTATAGTTCCGATTCTACCATCGCAAAATGAAAACAATAATACTAATGTAACAAACCACTGTGTTTTGCTGAATTATGAACGACTTGAGTAACAGCAAATAACGAGGAAAAAAACATAATAATGCATTTTTTAATCTATAAAAATACATCACTATAAAAGATTTTGTCCAAATAGTTACCGACTTTTTAAAAATTACCCTTTTTTATATCATTGAGGAGCAACACTTTACACAAATTACGGGTGAACACATGACACACGAACAGCCAATCCAGACGAGGTCCAGTGAGAGCGTGAGAACCGAAACCACGGGAATATATGTAGAGATTTGTTGTTAAGTTTTGGCAATAATGGTCTTGTTTGCAAATCTTTTTTTTCATTATTACTTCTTTTAAAATTCAGTTCGTTTGGAATATAATGTTCTGTGATGCACAGTTCGGTTTCTGTTGAATGTGTGCTCAGTATGAGGTGATGATATTTGTCAATAAGTGCCGTCGTTTATTATTAATAAAGGAATTTTAAAAATGCACTATGTTGTAATAATGGCGGACTTCGTTGTGAAATGCGCAATTTGTTCAACAAAACCTCAAAATGCTGTCGTTCTTCTTTTTCTCTCCTCCTTGTAAAATGTTTACGTTGAATGAATTACGTGCTTTTTGATTTTTGTGACAGGCCAGAACGAACCCAGTTTCGACATTAGATATTAAAAAGTGGAAGAAGTGAATCTTTACGGGGCATTCGTGTGGTTGCCAGGAGCCGCGAGCACCTGTGCATGTGACGAGCGAAGATCCAATCAGAGAAGAGCAAATTATCCCTTTGCGGAAGTGAGAGCGGCTGAAATGGGGAAGTCGGGAAAGTACAAGTATAAGCGCTCACACTGTTTCCCATTTTAGAAGCTACTCTTGTCATTAGTCAATCCCTGACATCAATATGGAGTAAAAAAGTAAGTGCAATACACGCAAAAAATGCTGAAACTATGTCAATGACGTAATGAACTCCACCACCCGGCGCTTTTTGATGAGAACAACGGAGTGACACATCTTACCCGAGAGCAGAAGAGACAATCTTGGATCGGCGTGTCCAGCTGTTGAGTCTCGACTCGAGCGAGGCTCACGTCAAACACTGTTCGAAGTTCGAAGCCCGCGTGGGAAACAATGAAGCCAGCCGCCTACTCGCTGCTGTAGACCGGCGGGGTGGACTTTCCAGTCCCCCCACGGGTGATCCCATCCTGCGGAGAAATGTGGCTGAACCCGGAGGAAGTAGCGCTGAAGAATGCGCTGAAGCTGTGGGTCACCGAGCGGAGCAACGACTTCTTCCTGCTGCAGAGGAGGAGAGGCCGCGGGGAGCCCGCTGGGAAGATCAGCGGTCGGTAGTACACGAAATATAGCTCACCTGGTTGGGTGTGGAGGGCGTGAATATGTGACTGTCGGGAGTGGGTGGGTCGACGCTCTCTTGAAAATAAACATCCTGGACTTGAAAATCCCCCAAAACATGACGGAGTCAATTTTACTCCAAAGTGAATACTTCTTGTTATATTCAAGCTCCTTTAAAAGGGTGCAAAGTTGTCGCACGAGTGACCGATGGGTCGGTCTAATTTCAGTCGTGCTTCTGGTAATTATTGTCTGACCGTGTTTTAGTGTCTCTTTTAGGACAATAATTAGCCAATTGCACATTTTTTTCGTGCGCTGCGTGAAACTCAACTCAATTTTATTTAAAGAGCACTTTAAAACAACTACTACTGCATAGAAAGTGCGGCAGTAGAAGGAAATACTGTACCATGATTTCTTAAGATGGGACACAGGGGCAGCAAATACAATGAAAACGGGGGGCCCAACATTGAATCCTGTGGCACACTATACATTTAAGGCACAGGATGTGATTTAAAGTTAGTCAAACAAATGCCAACCCTCAATTCTTCAGGCATGCTTGCTGTCACCATGTGACCCCCCCCCAAAAAAAAATCAAAACATTGCTTGAAAATGATGGCTCTTCCCCCAATCGAGCTGTCAAATCATTGATGGAGAGACATGGTGTGGGGGAGGGATGATGGAAATTAGCCAAATTTTGAAATCACAGTTCACAGACACAATTTGGGAAGTGGCAGCCGACAGAGGATTTTCTTGGTCGTTTACTTTGACACTTGATGGGTGGCCAGTGAAGGGAAACATTCTGGAATGTTCCCCTTCGCTGAGAGGCTTTTGTGCATGTTGCCATGCGACGGTGTCACACCTTCAAGCCTCTCAGCTTGGACAGTTAAAAAGAAAAAACTATCGAGGCTAAAATGACAAGGTGAGAGCACACTTTTTTCTCTCTGTGAGCGGAAAAAAATACTGCAAGCCTAAAACAAAGTCCCCAGTCAATTGTAAGGAAGTTAACCACAACTAAAAAGTAAAAAATTTACCTTTTGTATACATCAGACAGACACATAATGGTCATGTATGAAGTCGCATTTTAACCTGTGTAATCTTACTGCACAGTGAAAGCAGCGGATGTGTTGTCAAGGTGACCTTGCAAGGTCAAAGGTGTTATGCCGCGTTTGTGTGCAGGCCTCCTGGTGGGGGCGCTAGACACGGTGCTGGACTCCAATGCCAGGGTGACGCCCTTCCGAATCCTCCTCCAGATTCCAGGCTCGCAGATTAGTTGGATCATCGCTAGCGGTTAAGTCCGCACAGTGTGTGCGTGTGTGACTGAAGATGTGTGTGTGTGTGTTTGGGAGTGGGAGCGTGTGTTTTATGTTTCTGTCGCTTTCCGTTCAGGGGCCGCCATGGAGGAAGTGAACAAGCACTGGGATTGGCTGGCACACAACCTGCTGCACTCACTGTCCGTCTTTGAGAACAAGGAGGACGTGGCCAGCTTTGTCCGAGGAAAAGTCAAGGTGGGAGACCCGATACGGGTCACCGAGACCACTTGCAATCATGAAAGAAGGGGGAAAAAATGCCTACCACAAGCTCTGTCGCGCTGTCAACAACTGGATCGTGATTGTGGGTGTCAGGGCCTGATCGCGGAGGAGTCCCGCGGTCGCCAGGCTGCCCAGGAGGACGACCCGGAGAAGTTCCGCGAGGCTCTGCTCAAATTCGAGCGCCACTTTGGTTTGCCGTCGTCCGAGAAGCTGGTCACCTTCTACTCGTGCTGCACGTGGAAGGGGCGGGTGCCGCGCCAGGGCCTCCTCTACCTCAGCATCAACCACTTGGCCTTCTACTCATTCCTGCTGGGGAAGGAAGGTGCGTTGTCTTGGAATTATTGTCGATTCAGCACATTTTAAGCAATTATCGCCATTTTCATTTGAACCATTTTAAACTTAGCTGCTCTGGCCTCTTTTCACAGTCAAATTTGTGGTTCCCTGGGCGGAGGTGATTCGGCTGGAGCGGGTCTCCGGCGGATTCATGACCGAGGCCATCCGGGTCAGCACCAGGCAGCGGCAGCGGGACTTCTCCATGTTCCTCAACCTGGATGAGGCTTTCGGGGTGGTGGGGCAGCTGGCCGACATTGCCCTGCGCCGGCTGCTGGACAGCGAAGGTCTGGAGCTCGACAGAGTGCTGCAGCAGCCGGCTCGCATCACCAAAAGGTCAGACTTTCTCATTTATTTGTACATGCTTCAAATTTGGGAGCAGTGAGAGAAAAAAAAACAAAACAAATGGAGGTGTAGCTTGTCTTTGAAGGATCACACGAAAGGACCCTGAAATGGCCACTTGAAACCAACATATCAGACATTGTTTTTTCTACGGCATTGGCTACCTTCTCTTTTTGGAGAGTCTATTCCGACACATTTTAACCTATCGACCAAATGTGCTCTTCCGTTTAGGGTTCTTGAGGAGCAGGCGTTACGAGAGTACGTTTTGGCCCTGTTCCGCCTCCCTCGCGGTGAGAGGCTCCACGAGGTGGCGTCGTGCGCCGTATGGACGCCGCACGCCCGCTGCCACACTGCCGGCACGCTCTACACCACCGACAACTACTTGGGCTTCTCAAGCCGAGAGGAGGGACAATGCATCCTCCTCATACCCCTCTCCGAGGTGAGAATGTCAACTTGCCCGTTGAGCCATTGGAAATGCTAACGTGCTAGCAGCGGATGCGCTAACACTTTCGAACGAGATGCGCTGAAGCGGACAATGTGCTCACCAGGTGGTGTCTGTGGAGAAGGCGGAGAGCACGTGCGCGCTTCCCAACCCGGTGATCGTGAGCGTGCGCTCCAAGAAGGCCTTCCAGCTCATCGAGCTGCAGGAGCGCGACGACCTGGTGGAGAGTCTGGACTGCCGGCTGCGCTCGCTGCATCTCAAGCAGTCGGCCTTCCGAGGCAGCCGGCGCACCAACAGGACCGCGGTACGCTCATTTGACCAATGAGATGCGTTCATTGGTGGAATTGTTTGAATTAAATTATTTTTCAAAATATTGTTTGAAATAAATCCAAACTGTAAATGATTCTTGTTTTTTAACATGTTATGATATAAATAGAAACGATTGCCCGTTATTTCATTAAAAAAAAAAAAAAAAAAAATTGTCGGGTTTTAAAATAGCGTTAATGTGATCACACTTGATTCGTCATCTATTTTTTTTAAAGCCAAATTATTAAATTAAAGAATTGGGAGACTTAAAAATAAGTTCATTTTAATTACAATTCTAATTTTTAAACTTCATTCAAAATGGAGATTCTAGTGGATTACCAAATATCGGGAAAAAAAAATCAGTGCAAAAACATACCAAGATAAATTTTAACTATCCAATTTAAAGAAAAGGAAAAAGCTAACTTAACGCTTCAGACATTTCAGGAGTCTTGATCACATAAACGCTCGCTGGGCCACAAGGAACTTGGCTCATCGATGGTCTTTGCTAGCGTGTCTGGAACATGAACACTCGTGTCAGTTTTTGTTTTTGTTGTTTTGGCATCAGAGCTGCCCCAATCCGTACTACACCTTCTACTACGACACGGCGTGCTCGGATGAAGAAGAGATGGAGGAGCACGTGCTTCGGAACACCGTCAATAGCGAAGCGCTCATGACAGCCTTTCATCACAACGCCCCAGGAAGTCACAACAAGGTTAGCCAAAGCGACCAAATGATTTTCTTCCAATACGTAGATTATCACCTGCTGTAGCGCGACACGATAGAAATCGTGCGAGTTCCTCAGCGATTCCCACTGCTAACCTATATCAATCTATCGTAATGTATCGTAGTTGTTTTTACGATTATCATACAATCGCTGTACCGTCATACTGGCGGTTACGTTGGCAAATTATTCTAGGACTAAACCACATCTTTGTTTCGTTCAGAATATGGAAGCAGAGAAAGAGAAGATGTGGGAGGATCACTTCGCCGAATTTGGCCGTGGCGTCCACATGTTTCGCACTGACAAGGTCCAGCGTTTGATTGCTGCGGGGATACCCGAGTCACTACGGGGCGAGCTGTGGATGACGTTTTCTGGTGAGAAGGACAAATAACCCAGCTTTGACATTAAATGGCAGGCAACCATGTGATTAGACGACATGCTAACAGTTGCTATGCTAACAGAGAGCAAGATAGCAACGTAGGAAGTGAAAGGAATCAAGCAGATTGATAAGCATTTCACACCTTGCCCTGTCGCCGCGTGCCATTTCTAATGCTAACATGCGAAAAAAAAAATACATTTAACCCTACAGACGCGTTGTCTGATCTGGACTCGCACCCTGGCTACTATGCCGGCCTGGTGCAGACATCGATGGGTCAGAGCAGCCTGACCACCGACGAGATCGAGCGGGACCTCCACCGCTCCTTACCGGACCATCCTGCTTTCCAGAACCCCACCGGCATTGCCGCGCTCCGCCGCGTACTCACCGCCTACGCCCACCGCAACCCCAAGATTGGATACTGTCAGGTATGACTGGCATGATTATTTCCTTAATGTTAAAAGTGGCCCAATGCTAACATCCGAACATAAACAAAAACATATTGGCTACAATTAACTTGCCGAGTCGGTACTATTTCGAATGCGGAAAAGATAAAGGCATATGTGTAAGATTTTTACATCGTGGACTGTAGTTACGCACTAGTTCCACTGAGAAATGCTACAATGCTAACATACCAACAGTTGGTATGCGAACAGATAGCAAGATATCAACCTGAGGCAGGTGGGTGAGGCTTTTACATGTTGCCTTTCAGTCACATACTACTTCAAAGGAGAATTGCTAAAATGCTAACAGTTGGCAATGCTAACACATAGCAATATTTTAAAAGTACAAGAAAGATCGGTGAGGATTTTACAGCATGCCCTCCAACCTCGCACTAATTTCTGTTGATATTTGTTGAAATGCTAACATGTCAGCAGTTGGTGTGCTAAAACGTAGCTTTCCGATACTAGTCAATGAACATACTGGCATCCGTGCTGCTGCTGTACGCCAAAGAAGAAGCCGCGTTCTGGCTGCTGGTGGCCGTCTGTGAGCGGATGCTTCCTGACTACTTCAACAGGCGGGTGATCGGTAAGCGGCTTTAGGTTTAGGGTTTGTTTTGATATGCGTGTATGGCAGGATAACAATTTCAAGCAGACTTCACCTCTTTGGATGTAATTTGGAAGTATTTATGATGAGAATGGATGAAATCCCACCATGCTAAGAGTGGCTTTGCTACAACGTATCGGCACAGGATGCAAGTACAAAAGGTGGTCAAGAAGATTGCTGAGGATTTTGCACTCCGCCCTGTAGTTTGTGATTTCGAATGAAAATTGATTAAATGCTAACATGCTTAACTTAGCATTAACGGTGGGAAATGACTGGAGTGCCGTCCCACTTTTCTTCTCTGCAGGCGCCCAGGTGGACCAGTCGGTGTTCGAGCAGCTGATCGCCGAGCGGCTCCCCGATCTGGCCGATCATTTTCCGGATCTTTCCACCTTGTCGTCTGTGTCTCTCTCATGGTTTCTCACCATCTTCGTCAGCGTGCTGCCCTTCCACAGCGCCGTGTGCGTGGTGGATTGGTTCTTCTTCCACGGCATCAAAGCCATCTTCCAGCTGGCTCTGGCGGTGCTGGAGGCCAACGCTGCCAGCCTCTGCGCCCGCATGGACGATGGACAGGCACTTATGGTTCTCGCTAGGTACTTCTAAGGATTGATCCTTTGTTCGTTGGTAAGACTGTAAGGGAATTTGCTGGTTTCTGTGGTATCAGTCGTAATCGAGGTGGGAATGCAAGAAAGCTGGGACGGCGGTCTATTTTTCAGCGCAGGAGTTCTTCGCGTCCATAACAACAACGGCGGACCACTTTGTGTTTGTGGTTTTTAGCTTAGCATCAAACGGCTACATTAATGCCGCCTACTGCCCTGTTGCAGTTTTCTGGAACACGTTGGAAGTGAGCAGTTTCCTCCTGGCGAGTTCTCTCAGCCCTCTGCAAATGGTAGCAGCAGCAACAACACGGCGGATCATGCTGCCGCGGGCCAAGCTAACATAACGCAACTCATCATCGATGCCTATGAAGTGAGTCACTAGCAGCTAATTCGTGAGCGAGAATACAGATACATTTTTGTTGCCACACATTTAGCCAGAAGAAGTTACACAAAGACGACTTTTTTTGTCGTTTGCTAACATGGGTGCTACTTTATATTTGCGTGAAAGACGCTAACAGTCCGTTAAACGGGAACCACAACCAACATAAAACGGATTCTTTAAGGGTGTTTAATGCATCACTTGTATTTATATGGAGTTTGAAAACCATTCTTAAAAATGTTAATGTGTTGCTTAGCGTCTGGGCTAGCAATGATAACTGCTGGCTAAACGGGAAGCCTAGCCTGTTGAAGAGTTTTCTCATGCTAGTTAGCCTCCATGCTATCATTCAACTAAACAGCTCCATATATTAAACTCGATTAACTTCCAAAATAGAGCGTTTGCTAAATTGGTAATTCACACATGTGATTGCTGTTTCTTTTAAAGACATGAAATGTGTTTCCCCCCACCCTACCCCCAAAAAATAAAATTCGTTCAATATGTTTTCCTGGTCAGAGGTTCGGTGACTTGACGGTAAGAAAGATCGAGAGGCTTCGCTGTCGACACAGAATCCAAGTCCTGCAGGCACACGAGGACACAACCAAAGAAAACGCGGTGAGAAACGATGAAAATGCATCATCCTGACGGCCACTGCTAACTACAAGTCTAAGACATGCCTGCGTGTTTTCGTAGTTAAGAGTGGTGACGCCAGATGTGTCCATCTCTGCGGAAAACCTCGCCGACATTTATGACCTCTTCAAGGTAAATTCTTCGCCACTTTTCAGATTCATTCATTAAAAAATAACCAAAATTAACAAAATACAAGATTAAATTCTCTTTCTTGAACAATTGTGTCTGCCGATTAATAAGCCGCTTGATTATTTCCATCCAGACGGAACATTTTATCAGTTTGTACTGGGGCGACATCAGCGCGGTGGCCGCAGCGGAGGCGGCGTCGTGGAGACGCGGCGTCTCCTACTTGGAGCGCCAGTACCGACTGGATCTGCCGCAGTTCAAGAGCCTGTACGGGCTGCTGGCCCCGTGGCCGGCGGGCGGCTGCCAGCGGCACAGCGACACCCTGGCGCACCGCACCTTCACCCTGTTGGACTCGGACAGACACAATCTGCTCTCCTTCAGGGACTTTGCCCTCTGGCTCGGTGGGTGGAGTCGCACTCGCGACTTGTTTGCTTAAGTGTTTTATTTGGTGGGGGGGGGGGGATCCAGTCGATGACGCGAGTTGACTTCAAGCGGTTATCATTTCAGTAATTCATCACTGGGAAAACGAAAATGAGAAATTTCTCTGAAAACCCTCCTGATTATATTTTTTTAAATATTATCTATACGCATATAAATACAGTATTGTATAAAAACACTTGGGTATTTTGACTTTAATTTCATCATCTTAATATAAAGTCATTTTCTTGACATTTTTTCTCAAAATGGCACTTTTTTTTTTCCTCAATTTTTTTTTCACTTGGGGGAAGCAAGATTTTTTTTGGGAGAGATTTAAAAAAAAAAAGCCCTTTTTTCTCTTTATTGCGTCAGACACTTTGTACTGCGGCGAGCTGAGCGACAAGGTCAAGCTCCTCTACCGTCTGCACTTACCTCCCGGTGAGTCTTCCTCATGTCTTGACCGGAACGTCGAAATTCAAGGTCGCTTATCTGACATCGCTTTTCGCCTTCCGCAGCTCTGACGGTCAGCGCCGAGCGCTCATCTTCTTCGTTGTCGTCCGAGATCAAGATTCCTTCTGGGTCGTTGGGCAGACCCCTCTGCGTGGACGTGGCCTGTGGTGGGACAAGGATTGAGAGGCGAACTTGAGTTTCCACTTGCTTACCCCGGTTGTTTTTGTTTTGGCTGCTGAAGAAAGGGCTCATGGGAAAGAAGAGGTGAAGGACTACCAAGAGCAACTGAAGCAAATGCTGCGGGATTTGGTCGTGGGCAAGGACAAGGATGCCCACCAGCCGCTCCCCCTCATGAAACAGGTACAGTTGAAGATTTGATAATCCCGTAGAGAAGCAAAGGATGTAAGGATAACTTTTAAATAGCGTAAAGTTATTGCAGCGAGCCTTCTACGCGCAAATCGCCTTGCATGTGAAAATCAAGCAGATATTCAGAAAATGTCAACATTGTCTCGGCAGCGCGAGTTCATCCAGTTTTCTAAGACACTGTGCGGCCTGTTCCACGGCGACCCCGAGGAGAACGAGCTCTTCCAGGCCATCGCCAAGGTCACCAGCCTCGTCCTGCAGATCGGCGAGGCCACCACCAGGTCGGCGGGACCGCCGGACCAGGGCGCGGCGGGACCGTCTGACAGCGAGTGGACAATCAGCTTGGCCCAGATTCTGGCATCTGTGCTGACCGAGCAGACGCTGGTCAACTTCCTGGAAAAAGCGAGCGATCTGACGAGCCGCATCGCCGCTGCCAAGGAGAAGCAGTACCAGCAGAGGGCGCCGCTGCTCGCCCTGCAGCATGCCCATAGCTAGGGTCACCCTTCCTATTGTCTGTCCTAGTTGACTATGAGCCACTAACCGGACACGCCTTCCAATTTCACTGTGAGTCAATTCCAATGTTTTTGTACACAAATATTTTCTAACTTTAGTGTTTCATGTACTGGCCTGCATGCACCTTCTCAGTTTTTTTTTTTAATTTAGAGCCAAAATGTGCAAAAAAAAGAAAAAAAAAACTATCATGAAACCAAAACACTGGATTTTTCTTTTTAAATAAAATTGAGAGCTGCAGACAAGGAGTCTTGTTTGGTTAAAAAAAAAAAAAAAAAAAAACAAATGCCCAAAAACACCCTGAAATTCGGACTCCAGTTTCCTCCTCAGAAATCACAGTAACTGGTGACATATGAGACCAGAAGTCTGGAGGTGGCCTCATACATCCATTGGGACACCTCCAGGCATAGGTTTAAAAATTGACATTCAACAAGACAGGTGTTGAATACAGACATAAGAGGCGTTGTGCATAACAAATTGTATAAAAAAGTAAAAAGAATTGGGTTTAGATTTCACATCACATGGGTGTCAAAAGTAGTCACGTTCATGACTTACAGTACAGATGATGAGATTTAAACAGTTGAGTACACGTTGAAGTATCAACTTTTTACTCAAGCATAAAAGTAATGGTTTCAAAACTACCTCAAGTATAAAATCAGAATCAGAATCGCCTTTATTGTCATTGTATAGAATACAACGAAATTTGGGTGCCACTCCTCAAAAAATAAAATAGAATAAAATAATGGTTTAATAAATACAAAACTCAACAACACACAACAGCAGCAGTAGTGGTAGTGTGGACTGAGGCTTATATTGCACGCAAGACACATATTGCACATGAAATGAAATGGCTCAGAAGTAATGCAAGGAGAAAAAAATGCTTTGAAGCTGGAGTCAAATCATTTATAGAGGCCATCATTTTTGTGTTCTATTAAAAAGTTACACTGAAGGCTACCCGTTTCAGCTGCATAAACGCCCATTAAAAATGATCACATCTCGTCATCCGGCCAAAGCATACAGACTACGTGTACTATTAGCTAGCGCGAGTACATTAGCAGTTGCGCTATTAAATAAAGTCATATTTTAATACTTAAGTCTAATTAGGTCTCACACCGTCGACACCCCTTGCTAATAAACTTTCATCTTACCTCAAAATGCATTTTGAAGTTTCACGGCGAGTCCTTGAAAGGCATTAGCTTTTTGGTACTTGGGTCCGCCAGATAGCAGCGCATTTGAAAAGAGTTATTTTAGGAAATAAGTCTCCAAGTATGACCGGAGATGCAATCCGCGATGGTTGGCTCGTTTTTCTGGTTAAAAACCGCCGCCACGCTGGTACTTATTTGGGAAACGGACGTGACCGTGTAGTTTTGAGAGAAGCGAGTTGTCATTGATATGCTGATTTGTTTCACGTGCTGCAGGTGCATCCTCGCGTGATTTGACCGGATTGGTTGTTTTGAAGCACGACAAACTGGAATGAACACGATCCAAAATAAAATTGCAACGCGGCGTTTTGTGTGTGTGTAAGGAGTAGAAAGTGCATAAATTTGCGTTAAAATGTAGGGAGTGGACATATAAAGCAAGATGAAAAATAAATACATCACGAAAGTATAGATACACAAAATTTGGTAACGAAGTATTTTTACTTCACCTCTGCATGGGAGTTCAACCATTTCTGGAAAGATTTGTTAAATTTTAAATCTTGGAAAAGATTATCTTAATTCTCGAAAAATACGACTTGTAAATGACCAATTTTTAACTACAAAAAAATCTGACTTTTTTCTTGGAGGATTATATTTTGTCCACGAAAAATTGGACTTAATTGTTGAAAAAAAGTGACTTAATTCTCCCAATACAGCAATTCATGTTTGTTTGTTTGTTTTTTAAACTGAATCTCCCAAATGAACAGAAAACAAGACAGGCCGAGCACTGCATGAACTTGGCTTTATTAGCTACTGGCGAAGGGTTACACTTTGCCATCAAAAACCAAAACACACACTGGACTAGTACTTGTACTCGTAGTGTTCTACTCGTACTACTCGTGTACTAGTTAGTGGGCTAGTTAGTGCTCAGAGTTCAGTTAAAGGAGGGAAACAATGGTGATTTTTCTCTTACATCTCAAGAGTGCTTAGATTGTGGAGGGTGTACATCAATAGATACATACTTAACACCATTAAAGGTATAGTAAGTATGGTAGTCTTAGCCGATTGTTTCATTCACTCCATACAACACTGACTAGGTCATATCGAAAAAAGATATTGGGCTTGACAGGCGACACAAACTAACAAACAGGCGACAAACTCCACAAACATTTGGCACACATTTTTCCACATGGTTTTTGCCATTTAAACGGCCTCCACGTAGTTGGCGGGCAGCATGCCGGTCTTGCCGGTGCGCTGCACGGTTCCATACATCCAGCCCTCGTCGATGGACTGCACGTTGACGATGACGTCGCCGTCCTTGAAGGTAACCTCGTCGCTGTCGGCCGCCAGGTAGTCATACATGGCGCGCACCGTTTTCTGTAACCGGGTGAAAGTGTTAGGACCGTATTTGAGCTTTCGGAGGTCATATGAACAAACATATGTTGCGTACCCCGGTGGTGGAGGGGTGCGAGGGGATGGAGGAGACGGTGGTCTGCTGGGTAGCCACGGACGAGGACCTCTGCTGCAGCTCCACGGTCTTGGCATGCTGGTAACCTGTGAAGAAACGGCATGGGAGGTCACGTTTACGAGTCAACGCTCAAACAGGGTTGCGGTCGTTCATTTGAGCTTCACCCATAGAGGAGGTGACAAATCCGGAGGTGGTGACATAGCCGTTGCTGTAGAGGGACAGGTGGTGGTCGGGGTCCTGGGAGATCTCGGATTTCTCGTCAGCCATGCCACTTAGGGCACTAGTGGAGCGGGAGTGCTCCTTGCTGCGACGCTGGGCTTGGACTAGGGTGAAACGGCAGAATGAGAGACTCTGGAAAGGTGTTCTGGAGTGAGATTTTCTCTTGGTAGTTATTTGAGGGTAGGTCCTTGTGGTACCACGTACTGTAGATCTAGTACCGACTCCTATGGTTCAAAGAGGTATCCGGACAGAGAACGCTTGTATTACCGGGAAGGTGTTCCGGAGTGAAATTCCGACTGACATCTTTTTTTAGTTCTTTGAGGTAAGTCTACACCGACCAAAGAATCAAAGTCCAGGTGTCTTTTCTGTTCATACAAGCCAGCCTGGTCAATAGTTCTTGTACCGCTTTGAACCATAGTCAGTGGTAGGTTGCCTGTAGCACTACAAGGACGTACTTTAAAGAACTGGGACTTAGGTCAATAGGAATTTCACTTGTCATATAGTATCAGAAAGGTGCTCTGGAGATTTCTTTTACTTGAGTCTTTCAGGTCAGTGAGTCTACTCTTACACTGACCTACTCCCAACTCTGATTCAAAAAGGACCATGGACCAGACGAGCTTGTCTAAATAGGAACCCTCACAGTTTTTGGACACCTTATTTATTTTGTTCTGGATCCACTCCAAACAAAAGGCCCGTAGATCTTGTACATGTTCACCAGATAGCCACATCCAGTATCTCCAATCCTCAATTTACCCGACATCAGGTGCAGACTCCTGGACTGGATGTTGTCCTCGGCCGGGTCGTAGTCAAACACCGATCCGGGGTTGGTACGCCACACTCGCAGACCTAAGGGAGCGGAAGGTCGTCAAATTAGGGATTCAGTCCATTTCGGTTACGCTGATCAAGGCTGAAATTCAAACCCAGCAACTGTGACTGTGAGGCAGACGTGGTAGGAACACAGTCCACTGGGCCGACTTTCGAGTGGCTAATTACGGAGCACCGATGGGGAAAATGGATTTGCTATATGAATATATGTTGTTACAAACTCGGTCTCGGAACAAATCAAACTTGTGAATGAAGGTAGCACTGTCCTGTAAAGCGGGCCTGGGAGTCTTGATCTGGTAACTCTAGATGCCTTACCAGTAATAGTCTCCTGGTCATGATCGACGGCACGCCTCCTTTCCATCTCGACCACGCGCCTCTGGATGCCACGGTAGCTGATGTCACTGAAGTCTTGGGTGTTCTTCTTCACACGCTCTGTGATCAGGTCGGTGATGGTGGGCGTGAAGCTGCCCTTGGTCTTCTCAAAGTTCTCGTGGTAGCGCACCTAGAACACAAATACGGTTCGACAAATGTGCCTCACCGGGGTATCAGAGGCGGAGGGACTCGAGGCACATGACCGTTCAGATTTAATTGCCAAATTTGGGACTTCACTTGGCTTTGACTTTGCATTCTTGAGAGCCGGCATGACGTACGACTAGCTCGGAATTTAGTGGACCCACCTTGATCGGAAATCGCTTGAAGCTAGAACATTAAGACTTGAGACTTTACAAGTGACTTTCTCCCACCACTGCGACATTATATCTGCCAAAAAAATAACCACACGACTTACTCCAGATATGATGCGTTGGGTCTCCCTGACACGTCTCATCTCCGGAGTGTCCAGAACAAAGGCGGCCTTGCCCTGGACCTGCTTGCGGAAGCTGTCGGAATACAGCACCTGGCGGGAAAGCAGGGACACATGGTAACGTGTTGTTTTTTTTTTTAAGCCCATTTTTTTTTTGCCCTTAGCACAGTTGCTAGCGACAGGACACACTGACTGACAAGAGCGACCTGAGATGTTACTGGGGTACAAGATGAATGAATTAGCATATTTCAAATGGGATTACACATCCCAAAGTGTTCAGCGGCAGAATGGAATGAGGGAGGCGGGGGGACAAGAGGACGTGGTACTGGACGACAAGAGGTTAGTGCTGTGGAAGTACACAGATACTGTATGCTTCCGCTGTGGGCTTAAAACTGCTTGGGGTTAGGGAAGTAATACCAACAACCAGTGTGGAGGATTCAGTGGTTTAGGATCCGTTACTAAGGGGGTTGTTAGAGACTTCAGAATGGTGCTCGGATGCCAACGGTTTGTGTAAGTGGGAAATTCTGTGGATAAAGTGCACGTTTGAAAATTCTTCTCAAAGTGAAGTTTTTAAAAAATTATATGACCGTATCGGTGTTTTCAGACATTTTTGAAAGTACAGTGGTTGTTTTGTTATAGCCTTATTATGAGGTGAAATGTTAAAAAATTGTCGTAAATAAAGTAAATGCCCTCTGAAATCATTGATCAAATTATAGTTGTTCAATAAATCGTGTTTCGGCATGGTTTCTTTTGAAAGTCACACCACCACCTACTGGCCTGGCATGCACATTACAGCCTTTTAAGGCATTTTGGGAAGTATCAAAGCTCACCAAATCCTGCACACTGGATGTGGATTTGACCAGCATGACATGTTTGTTAGACAAAGGGGTTAAAGTTTCGTAAAGGAGGGAGTGAAAGAAGAAGACTGTAGTTCTTGCTGTGCCGCTCAAGGTACCGAGCTAATGTTCTCTTGGTTCCGTTTGACTCGCTCCATCTCTGGAGTGAACACCACGGGGGTTCCCTTGGCCGCGCTGTCCTTATATAACACCTGAAATGGGGCAGAAGGGGGCGGTGGTCAGACATTGGGTACCAGTGGAAAAAAAAAATCATCACCATCAAAACTGCTTTCAACAGAAGAAGCTTCCAGACAATGTGGATGACTCACCGAAAGCAGAAAGCTTGAGAAATTGGTCTGATAGTGCAGGGGTGGGCAAAGGACCTCCCGAGCATTGGATTAAATGCAACTTGGTAGTAAGTTCAGAATTGCACTTTTCTCTTTTATCTAAAAAGGCAAAAGCGGCCCTTTGCTCACCCCTGCTATGGAGTTATTCAGGATGATGTTCTTAAAAGCTCGAGTCACACATGAGCAAACTACTTCAAACTTGACATGTGCGGTCAAGTGGGAGGGGGTTAGAAGGTGGGATGACAACTTAGAAGGGGATGGAAGTCTGCATTAGGGGTTCAAGAGATGAAGATGGTTCAGGGAGAAGAAAGTGTGCGCCTGGGATGATGCGAGAGCGTGATTAGATGAAGCCGATGTTCGCTGCTGCTCACTGGTGCCATCGTCCGCGTTTGTTAGGAGCACACGCAATTTGAGAGGGGCGTTCCACTACCGAGCTGATGTGCCTCTGGGTCTGTTTGACCCGCTTCACTTCCGGCAGGTCAGGGATGGCCGTTGCGCGATCCAGGGAATCCCTGTATTTGATCTACACCACGGGGATGGAGAGCAGGTGTCAGTCAAGAGACAAAAAAAAGAAAACAAACAAAAAAAAATTAGCAAAAGAGACAACACAGCACAGCGCCAGAAAAGAGCACAACAGGATATTACGTTTTTGTTTTTTTTGTAAACTGCCCCAAAAATAAATAACTAAATCAGCCCCGGATACCAGTTTCTCCAATTAACATGAAATTGGTTGCTTTGTCTCTCATGACAGGACAAACAAAAAAGTCTCAAGGACCCAGAAGTGAAATTCAGCAGCCTTAAAAACTCAAAATCAAAATCCAAGTTGGCCCCATTTTAATTCAAAGCTGCCATTCTGAGCGACTTCCAGAGCTGAAACGTTGTTCGCAAGTTAGAAAAAAAGCCACAAACCACATTTTCAACGCTCAATACAAAATTAGTGGGACATTCCCATGATAACAGGACGCACAAAAAAAGTCTCAAATACTGAAGAGGATGTTGACCACCCTGATTTAAAGCAGCAATTTGGAGCTAATTCCAGGGCTGATACTTCTATTCAAAAGTTGAAAAAAATGTCCAGTTTAGCCGTACGGCGGTCCAGAGAGTCTTTGTATTTGATATACCCCAAGAAGGTAAAGAGCAAGCGTCAGTCAAGACACACAAAAAAAACCCAATTAAAAAAACAAAGCACAACATCAAAGATCACAAAGGGACATGAAGCTTTTTTTTTTTACATCCTGGGAAATGAAGAAGCGTGTTAGCCCACTGGAGTTATAATGTCAGGTAACTGCAGAGAATGCTCTACTGTGTTTTTTTTTTTTTCCAAGGGGAGTGAAATGAGCCAGGGGGAGGTTGGGGTTCACTCTTTTTGGGATACCGTGCTAATATTTAGCTGATTGCGTCTAACGCGTTCCATCTCTGGCGTCGCCGACACAGATATGCCTCGTCCCACGTCTTCCTTGTATTGGAGCTTTGGAACGAGACAAAAAAAAAAGTCAAACATGGTGGTGACACTCAAAAGTAGTTTAGAAGGGTAGAACCCGACCGATACTGGGTTTTTGGGGTACAAACATGGCTGGCTTGGTCATCTACCATTGTTTTGTTATGGTGTTCCTCTTAATATTAGCAATGCTAATTCAAAGGCATAAAAGGAACTTGGCGATTGAGTAGATGACTCAGTCTCGGCTCTAGAAATTTAGAAAGGGAACATTTGGCCCCCAACAATCAGTTGTACATATCAACAAGACTGGGTGGACAAGTGTTTCAGGGCGATTCAGTAAATTCCAGGGTGTGGCGAGAGTTTGGAAAGGTTTTTTTAAGAGTTTTACATGAAACTGGGTCAATGTGACTCAAGGACCTATACCAAACACTGAACATGAAGTGGGCCATTTTGGTTTGAAGCAGCCATTTTGGGTGAATTCCAGGGCTGACATTTTGTTAGAAAATCTGCGGCAAATATAAATAAATAAATAAATCAGCCCCGGAAATCAGTTTCACAGATCAAGACGAAATTGGGTGGATACTTCTGTCAAAGCAGTATACATGAAAAGGTCTCAGGGAAGCTGCTTGATGGAAGCCGCCAATTTGGGCAAATTCAAAGGCTGTCAATGGTATTGACCTGTATTTGAATGCACCCATGTCTATGATGACCAGCCAGTTTTATCGACAGTATCGGTTGGGATCTTTCTGAAAAACTTCAAGCAGGCAGATTATTTGAGGAAAATATGGAAGGGGTTATCATTTGGAAAAAAATCAGTTTCAAACAGTAGCCAACAGCAGTCGAGGGGGAGCATGATGACACAAAGAATCTTAGTTAGGATGGAAGAATGTGAAGCGTTGCCCTTCCAAGTTGGCAAAGGGATTTGGGGGAGGTCAGAGGATTGCGGGGGGCTGATGACTGTAAAGAGGTAAGAGTAGGCGGGACATAAGAAGAGTTTTCCTCTACCGAGCTGATATGCTTTTGGGTTTCTCGGACCCGCTTCACCTCCGGGAGGTCTGGTATGGCTGTGGCTTGACAAAGAGAATCCTTGTACTGTACCTGCCCGTTGAAAAAAAAAAAATGTCACACAGGTAAAAAGTCGAAGACAACCCTCGCAAAAAAATGCCCGCCCATTCACTCACAAAGTTAGTATCAACACCAGCACAGGCAATTTAGAGCTAGCGAATCGGGGGGAAACAAGACTGAAGGTGTTAACTTATGTGAAAGGACATGTTCCCGAAAAACTTTCAGTATGCGGTATCTCTGGTAGGGCCCTCTCTCTGATACAGGCGTGCCTTGTCTTCTTTGCATTACAGCTCGGACGGAGAGAAAAAGTCAACCTGAAGTACTTTGGACTTTAGAAGGACTAATCCTGACATTTGCGTCCCTTGTCTGTCTTTGTTCTTGGTGGGCAGTCCAATCTGCAAACACATTATGCCACTGACTGACTCAACATCGGAAATCATCTGGGAAAGACCTGGTATGTTGCTAAAATCTGACAAACTCTTGATACCTTAACGACTAACCAGATGATATCAGCAAGATTGGTCGGAAACTTGCCATCAGTGTCAACGGGACATTTCAAGCGGGCGGTTTATTTGAAGAAGGATTGAAGGGATTATCATTTAGAGGGAAGTCAGTTCCAAACAAAGTCAAACACTGGTCAAGAGGAGAGAGTGATGAGACAAGAGTCTTCGTTAAGATGGAAGAGGTCAAGTACTGGACTTCCAAGTTGGGAAGGTGAGAGGATTGTAGGGATGATGATTGTACGGTGGGTAAAGAGTAGGGGTAGATGGGATCTTCTACCGAGCTGATATTCTTCTGGGTTTCTCGGACCCGCTTCACCTCAGGAAGATCTGGTATAGCCGTACCTTGACTCAGAGAATCCTTGTACTGTATCTGCCCGTTGCAAAAAAAAAATGTCACACAGATAGAAAGTCAAAGACAACCCACGCAAAAAAATGCCCGCCCGTTGACTCGCAAAGTTAGTATCAACACCAGCACAGGCAATTTAGAGCTAGTGAATCGGGGGAAACAAGACTGAAGGTGTTAATTTATGTGAAAGGACATATTCCCGAAAAACTTTCAGTACGCGGTATCTCTCGTAGGGCTCTCTCGAATACAGGCGTGTCTTGTCGTCTTTGCATTACAGCTCGGAAGGAGAGTCAACCTAAAGTACTTTGGAGTTCAGAAGAACTAATGCTGGGATTCGACTGACCAGAGGATGTCAACAATATAGGTCGGGAACTTGCCATCGGTGTCAACGGGACATTTCAAGCAGGCGGATTATTTGAAGAAGTATTGAAGCGATTATCATGTGGAGGAAAGTCAGTTCCAAACAAAGTCAAACACTGGTCAAAGGAGAGAGCGATGAGACGAGAATCTGAGTTAGGATGGAAGATGTCAAGTACTGGACTTCCGAGTTGGGAAGGTAAGAGGACTGCAGGGATATGATTGAATGGCGTGTAAAGAGTAGGAGTATATGGGATCCTCTACCGAGCTGATATTCTTCTGGGTTTCTCGAACCCGCTTCACCTCGGGGAGGTCTGGTATGGCTGTACCTTGACTGAGAGAATCCTTGTACTGTATCTGCCCATTGCAAAAAATGTCACACAGGTACAAAGTCAAAGACAATCCTCCAAAAAATGCCCGCCCGTTCACTCGCAAAGTTAGTGTCAACATCACCACAAGCAATTAAAGCTTGCGAATCAGGGAAAACAAGACTGAAGTTGTTAATTTATGTGAAAGGGCATGTTCCCGAAAAACTTTCAGTATGCGGTATCTCTGGTAGGGCCCTCTCTCTGATACAGGCGTGCCTTGTCTTCTTTGCATTACAGCTTGGAAGGAGAGAAAAAGTAAACCTAGTACTTTGGACTTTAGAAGGACTAATGCTGGGATATGGGCCACTTGTCTGTCTTTTTACTTGGTAGACATTCCAATCTCCAAAGACATTATGCCACTGACTGACTCAACATCGGAAATCATCTGGGAAAGACCTGGTACGTTGCTAAAACCTGACGAACTGTTGATACCTTCCGACTGATCAGAGGGTATCAACAAGATAGGTCGGGAACTTGCCACTGCCATCATTGGGACATTTCAGACAGGCGGATTATTTGAAGAAGTATTGAAGGGATTGTCATTTGGAGGAAAGTCAGTTCCAAACAAAGTCAAACACTGGTCAAGAGTAGAGTGATGAGATGAGAATCTGAGTTAGGATGGAAGATGTGAAGCACTGGACTTCCGAGTTGTGAAGTCGTAGGGATGATGATTGTACGGTGGGTAAAGAGTAGGGGTAGATGGGATCTTCTACCGAGCTGATATTCTTCTGGGTTTCTCGGACCCGCTTCACCTCAGGAAGATCTGGTATAGCTGTACCTTGACTCAGAGAATCCTTGTATTGTATCTGCCCGTTGCAAAAAATGTCACACAAGTACAAAGTCAAAGAACTCGCAAAAAAATGCCCGCCCGTTCACTTGCAAAGTTAGTGTCAACATCAGCACAGGCAATTTAGAGCTAACGAATCGGGGAAAACAAGACTGAAGGAGTTAACTTAAGTGAAAGGACATGTTCCTGAAAACTTTCAGTACACAGTATCTCTAGTAGGGCTCTCGAATACAGGCGTGCCTTGTCTTCTTTGCAGGTTGATACCTTGCGACTGACCAGAGGACATCAACAATACAGGTCGGGAACTTGCCACCGGCGTCAACGGGACATTTCAAACAGGCGGATTATTTGAAGAAGTATTAAAGGGAGTATCATTTGGAGGAACATCAGTTCCAAACAAAGTCAAACACTAGTCAAGAGGAGAGAGTGATGAGACAAGAGTCTTAGTTGGGGTGGAAGATGTCAAGTACTGGACTCCCGAGTTGGGAAGGTGAGAGGATTGTAGGGATGATGATTGTATGGTGGGTAAAGAGTACGGGTAGATGGGATCCTCTACCGAGCTGATATTCTTCTGCGTTTCTCGGACCCGCTTCACCTCAGGAAGATCTGGTATAGCCGTACCTTGACTCAGAGAATCTTTGTACTGTATCTGCCCGTTGCAAAAAAATGTCACACAAGTACAAAGTCAAAGACAACCTTCGCAAAGATGTCCATGGATTCACTCACGACATTCGCATCCAACTCAATACAGGTAGCGAGCAGGTTGTTTTTGGAGTTGATGATTCCAGTTTTAGATTGGATTAATCATTAAAACGTGAGAGAGAAGGGTGTGGTGAGGTTATTCACTTGTGTGAACCAGTTTTGAATCATTGCATCCATAACAAAGTGTGTCTTCTCCGAAACTGAAAGTGAGTATGAGGTATGACCAGGGTCCATACATTTTCTGGACATTTAGGTAAAAAAAAAAATCTCAAAGACAATGACACACTTGTCTGCTATCTGCTCTCAAGTCTCAATGTCTCTCATTCTAGTTTGAAGCAGTAAGTTTGGGCGATATCCAGTTATTCACTACGTGCCCTCGAGTGTCAATGTCCTGATCGAAGCTGAAGGTGGACAAATTATGCCTGTTAAGAGCCAGAATCTGTCCCCAGCTTTTTTTTTTTTCCCGACTAATAGTCGTCTGAAATCTGGTTCCAGAGGGATTTATCAGTCTAAGTTCGGCTTTCTGTTGAGTTTGAGCACAAATGAAGTAGTTAGCATTCCGAGGCCACGGAATGTCTTCTCTTACTTCCGCAACGATTTGAAAGCTGATCATTGTTGCAGGTACACTTTGTACCTGCAACAATGATCACTGAAATGTACGCTATGTTTAAAAATGTACAGTGTAAGACCAAATTTGGCCATTTTTTTTTAATCCAAAGACTGACACCTTAGATCTTCAGACAAGTCCTGATAGGACCGAGCTTTGACCCAACCCAGCAACTGGTTTCCACAAGTTAAAAGGACTACGGGTTTTATTACGCAGACTCTCGGAACCAATGAACAAACACGGCGAATGGAAAAAAGCCACGTTTAGCAAAGTGTACTGGATTAAAATGATAGTCAAGGGAGTAGTCAGGTCATATTCTGAGGGAAATATGGAGGGATGGCTCAGCGGAGGACTCGAGGTGGAGTACCGTGCTAACGTTCCTCTGGTTTCGTTTAACTCTCTCCATCTCGGGGGTTTCGGGCAAAGCCGTTCCTCCTCCTAAATCCTCTTTGTATTGAATCTTGTTTTGGGGATGGACCAGAAGCGAAAGAAGAAGCAAAAAATAGTCGGCTCTTCTGTTCGGGAGAGAAAACTGAACCAAATTTGAGATCTCCACCCATTTGTTGTCCATTTGTAGCATTTCGGAGGACTTACCTCACAGTTGAGGGCGTGCAAAGAGAAACAATATTTGGACAAACAAATACTGTAAATATGCAGAGGGCCCTTGACTTACGGATCGGTGATTTTTTTAATATATTTTTTTGCATTGTTTAGGGAGCTATATTTCTTTAAATTCTCATTTACTATGTTCGATTATATCTTAATACAAGACAGTGTCTATTTTCGTTTATGAGAAACATCCCAAAAATGGCTGGACTAAATTTCGATTCATTTCCAATTGAGAAAATTGATTTAGAAGCATGGTCACGGAACAAATTTAACTTGTAAGTCGAGGTCCCCCTGTATATACAGCATCACCACGCGGTAGCCAAGGGTTAGCGGGGTTGAATTGCTAACACAACGATGTACTCATTGTTGACAAAACACACACACACACACACACACAACCCCACCACCAAAAAAAAAAAAAACGCAAGCAGATGGAAAGATTCTGGTTAAAGATGATGAAGGAAGAAGGAAAAAAAAGTGTTAAGCGTCGGTGTGAAATGACATGTCATGAAGTAGATACCAAGCTGAAATTCTTCGTATTTTCTTTAACGCGAAGAATTTCGGGGGTGATTACAGCTGACCCTTTGCCCTTTATGACGTGTATTAGGTCAGTCTGGTACTGAAGCTACGGGAAGAAAAACACACAATTAAAAGAAAAAAAAGAAAAGACAGCACCCATACTCTTACGTTTCATATAAATAACAAGTATTTATATAGATTAATGATTACGGTCAAGTCACAGTCCAAAAGTGAGGCGCAAAAAGGGCTTGTGTTCTCAAAAAGTCTTTTGATTGTCCCGAAGCTAAGGTAGGGACAAGGAGAAATTGGTTTAAGTTTGTTGATTAGCCCCAGGCTGTGTGTAGGAATGCTTTAAAAAAAAAAATTATTCCACATCATTTATTGCAACCTATTTTGCGGACCCGCAAGTTAAAGCTCAGAGAACCCCGAGGGCCCCCTGACCCCCAGTTTGAGAACCCATGATAACAAACCACCATTGCACTTACAGTGCTGAAGTTCTTCTGGTTCTCACGGACTCTCTGCATCTCAGGGGTGTCCAGAACGGGGACATATTGGGACATGGTCTTCTCCGCCTCTTCTTTATACTTTTTCTGTTAGGACAACCACATTCAGGTTTTGCACGGCGACGCGACACCGGAATCTGGCGAGTGACGGAAAATCCACCTGGCTGATGATGTTCTTCATCTGCTGAGCGTGGATGATGTCTGGAGTGTCGATGACGGTGGTGTAGCTAGCTCGGTCCATCTCGGCTGTGTGCTTATACTTGACCTGGATGATGAAAAAAAATTAAAAAAATTATCGGCTCATTGATGATCGTTGGCCCCACCGAGAAAGAGACTCTCAACCCACACCACAGGATAGTTACTCAGGATAATCTCGAAAGACCATCGGTCTTTCAAGATGTCCGCATTTAGCAATAGAAAAATGAATTGACACATTGATGCTGACCTGACTGAGGATGTCGGTGGCATTCCTGGCCCGCATGAAGTCCGGGGTGTCGTTGGCCAATGCCAACAATCCCTTGCCCTTAATCTCCTGCTCCAGCGACTTCTTGTACTCTCTCTGCAAACGTCACGCAAAGAAAAAAAACAAATGCCTTGCTCTAAGGCGGCCAAAACCAGCGATGGAGTTGTCCTACTCATTCACACCGAGTATGGGAGGGGGAGTGTTGGAGGGGGCTGCCAAACGAGAACCCTCGACGGCTTAGTGTCATGCATAAACAAAAAGCCCAAAAAGATGACCAAAAACTGCCTTTTGGAATAGATTTTTGTACACTCGTTTGATTTTGATTGCCAAAACTTTAACATTGAGAGTGACTAGTCGGGGAGATCACTTATGGTCATTGTATTAGGATTTCACAGACATGATTGTTGATGTTAAAAATCAAAGAGAGGATTAGGGAACACTCATTTTTGCGGTAGATTTTTTTTTTTTTAGGAAGAGAAAAGATGGCTGAAATGTTAGCGACATCATCAAGCAGCGACCAAAGTTTGCCCCTGATCTTTCGAGCTGCGGTTAGGTACAGTTAAGAAGCATCGGACGCCCGACGTCCCGCCAGCCAACCAGTCGGTCGTACCTCGCACAGGATTTGAGTGGCATTCGTTGCCCTCAAAAGCTCGGGAGTTTCCTCCAGCACAGTTAGCCCTTTACCCTTCACGCCCTCCTCTAGATCCCTCCTGTACTCTCTCTACAGGATGGAAAAAGAACAGAGAGACTGCGGAGGGCAGGCCAAGGCACAACAAAAAAAAAAGTCCAGCGCAAAGTCACCGGACATTCCCCCCGTGCTGAAAGCCAATACAGTATACATCCCGTTTGGAAAGGGAGACGCCAGTGACTTTGGCAAGAATCCTGATCACCAACTGTGAATCAACATTGGATCAGACAGCATGGAAAGACAACTTTCACTATAACAACATAATCCAAATTCACCGTGCATGCGGCTGCAAAGGGAAAACGGTACAAAGTGACAGTGGATGCAGGTTGACATGGAGATTCTGGAGCATGGTACGATTAATGTGTTGTGACATAACATGCAACTGACACGGGCACGCCAACCCAACACACGACAGCCCTTTGGCTGTAGGTTCTTCGTGAAGGGGAAAAAGGGGGGCTGCGGAGTAGTGGGGGTCAGATTTAAATCAGCAGTGCGTAACTCATGAAGCGATGGGACATAAACTCAGTAATTAAATTATTCAATTAACCGACCCTTAGCTTGTAGGTAGCTACTCACTGTACCTATCAAGTGCATTTTCAGATATGTTTACATATTGTAACTATACACGACATTGCGTTAACCTGTCGGCCCGGAGTGTTGCGGTTACGCACTGTGACTTGAAATCGAGTCATCTCTAGGTTGAGGTTACCAAAGTAAGGAAACACCTTTTGGTGCTACTTCATTAGCATTGGGTGTTTAGTGTGTATAATATGGGTTCATTCAGGAAAAAAAAATGGTGATGAGAGAAAACCGAGGGGGTGTAATCGTGAGCTAGTATGATTACAGGGGAGGTGGAGGGGTGAGATGAAAGTAGAGGTACTGGGGAGGGATGGGGGTAGGGAGGGGTGGGGGTTGGGCTCAGGTGGTCCTTTGGTTACCTCACTGGCTATTTTGGTGGCATGTCTGACATGTATCATGGCGGGCGTGACTTCCAAGCCCGAGAGGTTCTTGCCCCTCATGGTCTCCTCAAAATCCTTCCTATAGTCTTTCTAGTGGCCGCAGAAATAAGACAGGGACACACACACACACGTCACGTACATACCTGGCGCTGCTCTCTCCATGTTTGTGCACTATCGTAAAATAATTTGATTAAGAAAAAAAAATTCTACCAATTGTGTGGGAATTTTTTTTTTAAATTTGATGAAATAATAATGTGCAGCTTTAGAAGGAATAAATGCAGACTGTGGAACAAAAAAAAAAAAAAAAAAAAACAATAACGACATGACAGAGACATTTCAACAGGATGATCACGTCACGTCCTCCTCCACTGCTCCGTGTTCACCGAAGATCAGACGCGAAGATCAGACCACGCGCTTACCTGGCTCTGCATGTGCTGTGCCTCCTTGGCCGTCACGTATGTTGGCGTCTCAAAGTCCAGCATGGCTCTGCCCCTCTCCTTTTCATACTTCTCTTTGTATTTCACCTGTTCACACCAATATTTCTATCACTGCGCTTGGAGCCGCAATGGAATTAAGACATCACTTGGTTGACATTCGGCTAAGTAACAGTGGTTGGAAGTCATCAAGTACTTCAGCCATCTGAGTTTTGTCCAAGTCTGTTCCCTACCTCCCGGAAGGACTTACTATGCTCTGCAGTTCCGAAGCCTCCTTGTGATGGAGCTGCTCGGGTGTGTCGGGAATCACGTGGTAGTGACCCCTACTTTCCTCAAACTTCCTCTTGTAGCAGTACTGCGGCGCAATGCCCGGTCAAAAAAGCAGCACAAACAAGAATTCCACGACTACGGACCGTTCGGTCAAAGGGTGAGCGCTCACACCAATTTAAAATGGATGAAAAAAAATGACATGATTTGAGTTAATTTATTCATCTACTGAAGAGATTAATAAATCAATAAATATGTTCTTCCTATTCATTAAATATGACAACACATGCATTTGGTTAAAAAAAAAAAAAAAAAAATCGATTTTTGCCAGTTAGATGGACAAATATGCCGGTTAAAGAAATCTGATGTTTTGAGTTACATGAGGAATGATGAGATTTTGATATAGCAAGCAAAATGGAAAAAAAAAAAAGCAGGTTAAAAAAATGCTCGCTGTACAAGAGGTGGAGGATGAGTGGAGTATGGATCACTACCAGATGAAGTCACAGATTTTAAGGCATGGATGAATGGAGATGCTACTGAGGGTTACGCGGGAAGTGGACGCACGCGTATGGCTTCCCGACAGCGGTGCGAGGATGGCAAGATTTAATTGGTTAACGATGTCTTACGTCACTGGACAGCCTGCTGGTGCTCAGGCCGTGCTGCATGGAGAGAGACTCGGCCATGTCGGTCACGGGCTTGTGAAGCTTCTTCAGGTCACGTTTGTACTTCACCTGCAGCAAAAGGGACAGGGTTCCAACACGGGGAAGGCTCCATCCCGCCCGCGGTGGAGTTTTGTGACGGCGCCACCTACCTCGCTAGCCAGCGTGTGGGCGTCCTTGTAGGTCTTGTAAACCGTACTCTCCTTCAGGTCATACCGAGGTCTCTTTCCCTTCATTTCCTTGTCAAACTTCTCCTTATACTTCAGCTAGTGGGGTGGTCAAAACAGAAGGCTTGTCAAGAAACGTCAACCCTGTCACCAACGAACGACAAGTCGCATTCATTGTCACCGAGTATGAGGGTGAAGCATTCCCAAGTTTTGTAAGAATCCACATGAACGCCAAATGAATCTCATATATAACAAACAGATATATATGGAATGGGAAATGTGGTAGGATAAAGAAAATAAGCAGGCCTCAAACATGTCATTTTGGTCTTTATTGGACACGTCTCTGGAGGAAACGGTTTTCCAATAAACTGTGGTAAAAGATTTCAAACGGTTAGTACTTCCCTTTCAAATTGTAGTTATCGATTAGCTTTAGCATCTCAGACTCAACGTCTCTTGTCAACTCCTGCGAAGTCCTCAAACAAGTCATTTTGCTTTTTACTGACATCCAGGGAGGTAAACCGTTTGCGGAGAAAAATGGTCCGCGTTACTCTTTTAAATTTTTATTAAAATTGTAGCTAGCATTCATATTTAGCATCTGAGAGTCATTGCTTCTGTAGCCTGCGCCCTCCGCAATATACTTTCGGCTGTTCATCTTTTCCATCAGCGGACCCGAATCCAGCCAGACAGACACACCGTGCGTTAGTTAGCAGCTAGCCCAGCGTTAGCCTCCTTACATCACTCGTCACCGCACTCATTTTCTTAATGTGGCGCATCAGCGGGGTGTCGTAGGAGGCCATTCCGTGGGGGGAAGGCTTGGCCTGAACCCAAGCGTAGCCGGATGGTTTGCGACATAAGACGACAAAGACAATGAAGAAGCAGGAAGACAGCATGGATGGTGAAGACAACATGAAAATCTACTTTGATGGACATGGTGACACTGAAGCATGGACTGAAACAAGGATGGAGAATGTCAGGAGCTTCCGGACAAAATTAGCAGAGCTGGCAGTACATGGATAGATGGATGGATAGAGGGGATGGAGGCATGGATGGATCCAAAGACATATGAGTGAATTGGTTGGCTGGCCAGCTGGCGAAGGACAGAAGCTTGCGGCCGAGATGCTCCTCAGTCAGTTTAAGTTCTTCTTACCTGGCTGTTGAGCTTGCAGACTTCCGTGGCCAGCTCGATGTCGGGCCGGTGGACCAGAGAACCTCCGCGGCTGGCCTCTTCACGGGCTTTGTTGCGGTAGCCGATCTGACGAGACAATATACAATTTTAAATGATTTCTGACCATACGATTAAAAAAAAAAGAAAAAAAAATTGACCAACCAAGTAATAAACTGTTTTTTTACCAATGAGATTAAAAAATTACAATGAATATATTTTTCTGTGCCTCATCTTAAAACAAAAGTAAATAATTATATTTTCCTGCCAGTTAGACGAAAACAAAATAAAATGATTCTATTTAAATAATAATAATAATAATTTAGCAATTTTTATTTTTGGCCCCTTACATCGCTGACGAGTTTGGCGGTGTGCGTGGCCTTCTTGATGTCAGGTCGATCCACTACGGCGGTGGTGTAGTGAAGGTTGGCTTTGGCATTCTTCTTGTAGTCAAGCTGAAACGCCAACATTTTTCATTCATAAAACTGTACCTAAATAACGATCTGAGTAAAATGTGTTACACATTAAAAAGTTGTAAAAAAAACTTAGCAAAATATATGTGTAAAACAAAAAGATTAAAACATATTCAACTTTAAAGTTAAATACAACTGAACTGTACTTACGAATGTATTGTACATGAAAAGTAAAAAATACAATACTGGGAAAACAAAAGGGTAACTGGAACATAAAGTTTGATCACAAAACTGTACTTCGGCAGTGATTCTTTTGGGTACCACCAGAGGGAGCCAGGGAACCACTCCGAGAATCACAGAGCTAAACTAAAGAATTTTTCTGTCGAACTGACTCACATTGCTCTGTTTCTTGGCAACATCCATGGCGTGCTGGATGTCGGGCGGTACGCACATGTTGTTGTATATCGACTTGCCTTTCTCCTTCTCAAACTTGGCCTTGTACACGTTCTACGGGAACAGAAGTCGGGATAAGCCGAGGCTTCGAGAAGCGACGAGAAAATGAGAAAGGAGAGGATACCTTGCTGATGAGTTTATTGATCTCCTTGCTGTGAGCTGTGTCCCGGGTCTGCGGCATGATGGTGAAGGACCCGGACTGCATTTGCTTCTTACTGGCCGCCTTGTACTTGCTCTGTGGAAAGACCAGCATGAAAGAGTGGACCATCCACCGATTGTGGATGTTTTGTTTTCTACAGGGGCTGATGGAACTTACCTCAGATGACAGGTTGCGTACAGCCTTGGAGTGGAGGATCTGAGGGGTGTCCGCCACAGGCAGGTAGTGGCCCCGTGCCTTCTCGTACTTCATTTTGTATTTGAGCTACAAAATCATTGAACCGAAGTGGAGCGTTAAAGATATTAATTCTTTAAGTTGCCAAGAATTCAAACGAACCAACGGAAGTCAATGCTAGCTCATGAACGCTGAAATCATTATCATCATAATAAAAATAATAATCTAACTGGATGGATGGATGCACGGCTCTCACCTCACTCGTGATTTGCGTGTTGTTCTGTGCGAGTAGGGTAAGCTTGTCGTCCACCACGGGTATGACGCAGCCCTTCAAGTACTCCTTGTCGTACTTGTACTCATACTGTCAAACAGGAGGCAGGTTAGCATTTGGGACGAGGAACATATCGTACGTACTGCACGTTGCACCCTGCAAAAAAAAATTTAAAAAAAAATGGAAAACTCAAAACTCACGTCACTCTGCTGCAGCGAGTTCTTGGCAGCATTGAGAAAGTCGGGCCTCTCTGGGGTCCACATCCACCTGAATTTGGTGGCTTCATACTTCTTCTTGTAATCCAACTAGAACAGAATAAACACAAAGAATAATTTTCTTTTTTGGGGCGTGGGGAAGACACTCCGGTGGTTCTTCAACTTTGATTTTTTTTTTTTTTATCCTGACAAAATATATCTTAGTTCTGGAGCCAAAAAGTTAACCCGTGCCTAGATAAGTCACTCATCCGGGATCACTCACATTGGTGATGTTCGTGTAGGCCTCCTTCGCGGCCCGAATGGAACGAGCCTCATGATCGATGGTGATCTGAGCCTTGTTCCTCTCGTAGAGCTCTTTGTACTTCAGCTGTGAACAAACGCAACATTTTTCAACGTTTCTTTCCTTTTTACCCACAATGCAGCCACGCTTTCAGACCACCTACGTTACTGGTGATTTCCTTGACTTTCTTCATGAGGTTTTGGTGCGGTGTGTCGTACGGTAGGGTGTAGCCTCTGGCCTTGTTTTTATTGTACTCCATTTTGTAAACGATCTGCAGGAAAACAAGTGCTTTTTCTCAGGAACATTTTTTTTGTCAAGTTACACTATAAAAGGTAGAGTAACCGAATATAAAACTCACATCGCCAATCTTCTTGCCGCGTTGGGTAGTTTCATACTCAGGAGTGTCCAGGATGGAAGTGAACTTGTCCTTGGCACGCTCATATTGTTCCCTGTAACGCCACTGAACAAGTGCAACATGGACCAAGTCACCATAGTGCACCACAAAAAGTATTCAGTCTGGCAAGCAATGCGTGGTCCCGAAGTAAGGACGAGTGTTCTTCAGGGTAGTGTAGCTCAAATTTTTCTTAGACGTGGCCAACTTTGGAGGACATAAAAAAGGGGTCAAGTCGAACTTTGATTCAAAAAAGATAAAGAAAACTGCTCGCTACTTGAAACGAGTTTGGAAAATGACTCCAAAATGTTGATTTCGAGAGCAGGGTTCCAATTAAATCGGAGTTAAACTTCATCCTTACCCTGAGCAGTGACTCCAGCTGCGGCATTTGACACCTTGCACTGGCACTGCATTTGGAAGCTCGCTTTTAAGCGAAAACAGATTAGTGTGCACTGTCCCTGTTTAAAAATATATAACATAAAAAAAAATAAAAATAAAAAAAAAGAATAATAATCCAAACCCTAACATCTAATATTGTCCCTAGATGAGTTTGGATCAAAAAAGTCAGCAGTCCTCCAATTAAAGAGTGTATAGAGATAGAAGTGAGACTATGACAAAAGTTTGAGAATCGTGGCGTCTCGTCTCAACTGAAAGTGATCACAGTAAGAGTGTAAATCGAGTACGTGAGGTTAGAAACATGCTTGAGGAGACAGGCATGAAAACGGTGAGGGTTATTAATGCAGGGATGACCAGTTACCAGTTGCAATGACTTCAGGCTCTTGCCGCGTTTTTCTCGGGCAGTTGGGGAAGCTGCTGGCGCCAGAGGTGGGGGTGGGGGTCTGATTGGCGTATGTGTGTGTCCGCAGAAAGTTGGAACATGCCTTGAACTTACGACTTAAGATTCGTTTCTGACTTGCACATGAGACTTACTCCCACCTCTGGATGGAACGACATGAGAGACGCACTTCATGGAGATGAATGGCAGATGGCAAGATTAGCAGGTGATGCTCGATGCGGCGTGAGCTTTATTTTGGCCAGCGGATGGGATGAAACAGCAGGAAGGGAGGAGCTCGAGACTCCGACCGCTGGCGGACAGGCATGAGCGTTTTTGTGGCACAGCTACTTGCTAACTAGCTAGCTGTTTACCTTACTGCCCATAAAAGTCTGGACAAGGGCGGTGAGGATGTCGGGTCGGTGGAGCTCATTGCAGCCGCTCTTGTGGAGATCCTTTGCTTTGGATTTGTACCGTTTCTGTCAGTACACACACATCATGCCACAGTTTAAAAAAAAAAAAGACACACGCACACACATTGAGGGGAAAGGATCTCACGACCAAGCTTGAACTTGTTCTGAGAACAAGCAGTGGTCGGTTTGTAGACCTGTTTCAAGACCTGCTATGGGCAAAAGACATAGTGTAGACCATCATATCCATGCCAAAACAACCACCACCAGGTCTGTGGACAGCCTCATGCCCCCCCGGCGGTTTTTTTTTTTTTTTGGGGGGGGGGATGCAGGCCGTCTCATTGGACCAGGACCATTACCTGGCTCATCTTCTTGTTCTCTTTGGCCAGCTGGAAACTAGGATCGTCTGTGGTTATGGTGAAGTGATCCTTTGTCTTCTCGTAACTAACTCTGTAGGCCCGCTGCTCAGAATGTCAGAAGGGAGTTAAAGGCAAGTGTCCAGGAAACCAAAAATGACAGAGGTTTGACGGAGGGCATCCCTTTCCGACAGGGGTTCGAATAATACCTCCAAGATTGTACAGAGGAACCAGACAAACCTAAACTGTAAAAACTTAAGTCTAACCAAGATGAAATATTTCAAATCGAAACAAAATATGCTGGTTCTTTGACTGCCAACACAGATCAAACATCATTTAATTCATTTTTCTCATTTTTTTCCCCCTCCCACGTTCAGTTTCTGCAGTGTAAGCATTGCTGAAACGAGTCAACTTACTTCATCGATGAGGCTGGTGGCGTGCCTGGCCGTGTGGAAGAACGGCGAGTCGGAGGTGTACGTGAAGTTTCCTCTGAACTTCTTGAGGAAGGTCTTGTATTGGATCTGGAGAGCAAGTAGAAACAACACAGCGTCATTGATGGGGTCAAAAACTGTTCGAAAAGATGAAATGCAAATGAAAAGTTAAAGATAACTGAAATGTACTTAACAAATGTACTATAGTGATTTAACAAATGTTTTATCGGCTGACGTGATTCAATGATTTATTTCACGTACCAATTGAGGTAGCTGGTGCGCCACACTTTGAGAATTTTAAAATACATTTTAAAATAAACAAAATTCAAACTCGTACGCTAAGTAGTGACTCACATCACTGTAAAGCGTCTTGTTCTTCTCAGCCCGCAACAACTCGGGTGTGTCCCACACGAAGCAGCCGATTCCCTTCAACCAGTCCAGGTCCTCCTTGTACTTGACCTAAAACCCCAACGCACCACCGTTTGAAGTCAGGCACATGGATTCCTTTTCGCCAGGAAAGTCTCGAATGGCTCTCACCGTGCTGATGTTGTCGTTGACGATCCTGTTGAAGAAGAACTCGGGACGGTCCGGGATGGACTTCCACGTTCCTCTGGAGCTAAGGTAATTCTCCCTGTACTTAACCTGAGGCGGAATCAGCGTCATTTTAACATCACGCAAGACATTTTGCGAACGTCGTGATAAAAGGTCATCGTGTAGCGCTGACATTGCTGACGTCGTTGGTGACTCTGCGGTGGTAGACGATGTCCAGGGCATCCTTGACGGTGTGGTAGTGGCCTTTAGAGAGCTCGTAAGTCTCTTTGTAGCGCAGCTGAGGAAAACGCAAAACCATATTGAGGTGAGTAACCATTTCGGAATCTTAGCGTGATGTTCGCTGATCGACAGTGGTGAAAAGTAGCGACGTAAAAATACCTTTACTGCACTCAAGTAAGTACAAAGTAAGTAAGTACAGAGCATGAGTACTTATTAAACTCACATCGCTGGACTGGAGGTAGGCCTTCTTGGAGCGGATCAGAAGGGGCGTGTCACCAATGGCGGTGTACCTGTGCTTCATCTTCTCATATTGTTCTTTGTACTTGTTCTAAAAGAAAACGAGAGAGCAACCAATCTTGGTGGGGGCGGGGGGAGATTTCAGTCGCTGACGGCAAAGACGAGCAAAGAGCTCGGTAGGGACTTACATCACTGGACATCACTTTCATCTTCCTGCTGTGGCCCATGTGCGGGGTTTCCACTTCCAGGGTGTAATGTGGTCGGTGTTTGGCGGCGACGTCCGTGTACACGTACTGTCGTGCAAGAGGCACAGATGGGAGTCAAGTCTGTTCAGTCATCCGGTCTTGACTTGACAGATGGAAAACTATCGGGTTCAAACTCACATGATTGGTCAGATGCTGGGCCCATTTGGCTCTTTTGAGTTCCACGGCGTCGGCGGTGGTGGAGACCCTGGCCATATCCTCTTTGCTCTGAGCTTTGTAGATGAGCTGAAGGCAGAAAAGGCCAACTTGAATTTTGCACCTTTTTTTTCCCTCCATTCTACCCAAAGACATTTCTTTTCAAAAAGCAACTAGCAAAAATGTAAGCTACTTTTAGCATTTGTTCGAAAACTTTTAGCAACTTTTGAAAAGCCACCCATGTGCTAAAACATACACTTTTCCTCCATCAATAACACAACAACAGCAACTTATTTTTTTTCCCAGGAAAAGCACCAGTGCTTTAGGTGTAATCTAATGCACGTCATGTTCTACAGACGTCAGAAAGGGAATGATCATGCATCAATTGTCAACTTTTAGCCACGATTCAGCAACATCACCACCAAGACTGGCTTCCATCCAGACAAGACTCACCATGCTCAAGTGGCTCTTGAGCTCGCTCACTCGCTTGTACTCCGGCGTGTCAAGGACCACCGAGAAGTTGGGCAGGTTCTTCTTGGCCTCCACCGGGTAGTCCATCTTTGAGAGTTAAAACAAACAAACAAAAAAAAAAAAACAATACACCAATGATGGCGACCAATGTGCAAAGAAAAAAATGCTGTATCGGAGGATACGTACTCTGTACTTATTGAGGTTGCGGATGCGGATCATCTCCGGGGTGTTGTACAGGAAACAGCCGATGCCTCTCAGCCATGTTAGATCCTCTTTGTATTTCAGCTGAAAACGTACAAGAACATCAATTGTTTATAAAGTGCCTTTTAACACAAGTTTGTTAAGAAAGAAAAATGTCCAGGGAAACAACCTCCCAGACTTTAGTAGGGAGCGAGCTCCATAGGGGAGGGGGGTCACTGGATGTCCGGAGTTTGGGATGGTGTTAAAATAACATGTCTGACAACACTGAGCGTTTCAGTAGTTTACTAGTTCATGCTACTTGATTTATGCTTTGGATTTGAGCATCAATGTGGATTTTACCATAGGAGAGAGTTGCAAAGGACAGCAAACATCCCGACGTGAACAAATGAAGGCAAGCACACGAGAACAAGAACACGAAAAAGACGCTTCGCAGTACCTCGCTGGTGATGTCGTTGACGTGGTTGTAATGCATCAGCTCTGGTGTCATGGGCATGGAGATCAGCTGGCCTTTACATTTGTTGTACATCTCCTTGTACCACAACTACAAAAACACCCAAGTAGATGTCATACCATTTCAAAAGAGACATATCGTCGATGCTGGAAAAAGCCACAATACTTCGCTGATGTGATCCTGGTTCATCTTGACTTGTTTGATTTCGGGGGTGTCATAGGTGGTGTGGATCTTGTCCTTGTGCTTGTGGTAATCTTCGCGATACAGGCGCTACATGGATGGGAGAAAGCCACGTTAGATGGCGTTAAAATGAGAAAGTGACGGCTGGGCCTCGTCTCACCTCATTAGCGATCTTGTTGGCCTTCCTGTAATTGACGAAGTTGACGCCCTGTGGGTGAATGCTGTAGCCCTTGGCCTTTGTCATCTCCCAGGCCTCCTTGTACTTCACCTACGCAAACCAAAAGAAGACACGAGTGGAACTCGATCGGCTGTTGCTACCATTTTTTTTTTTAGAGAGTAGCGGCGGTATACTTACAATGCTACTGATAAAAGAGTTGTGTTTAGCCTGCTTGATGAGAGGCATGTCGTGGGGCAGAGTGTATCCTGTGGGCATGTAGTTCTTGTTGGCCTCCTTGTACCAGTTCTGAGAGAACAGAACACATTTTACATGAAAAGTGGTGACATGTGAATCTTTGTCTTCCCTGGTTTCTGGCAACTCCATGGAAACACTGGCCCCTGTCCCCCTTCGCCTTCAATGGCGTTTCCCCCACCCGTGTCCAACAAGTGACAGTCAACACTTTCCTGCTCTGTTAATGAACTAAGTACTTGCCTTTCCATCTGGATCTTGTAAGTCCACTTTACCACATGGCTCTCTTCATGAACTGAGCCCATGGTGTTTTGAGACTTGCGTCTCATAAGTGATCATAACCACACCCTATTGTTGTCTCATCCACGTTACAAAAATTCAAGGGCTTCAGATTTTTTTTTTCCTATGAGCTTACAGTTTTTACATAGCTGCGCCACACTCATCTTGGAAAGTAAAATTGTGCAGATGAAGAACACCGCCAAGGTTATCTTACATTACTCTGAATGTGGTGGGCCAGGCGAGCCCTCTCCCCCTCGACGGTAACGGCAGGAGCAGTGTTGGTTCCCTTGATGTGGGTTTGGTAGTCGGAGCGATAGCGCAACTGGGGAAAGACGATACAGTCAGAAAGCGTCCGACGATGTCTTACCACGCATCAACGTCACTGGCTTACGTCGCTCAGATTGACGGTGTTTTGCTTGGCCGTCGCGTAAACCGGGGTTTCCATCACCACTGAGTAGTCCTTGAACGCCTCCACACCTTTGGCTCGATATTTGTTCTGGAATGTGAAACACACGAGTGAATAACATTGCGGGGCAGATCAAAGCATCAAAAAAGGTATTGGTGACAACAAACAATGCTCTGAATGTCGCCGGCATGCTTGACACGCAGGATTTCCGGAGTGTCCCAGGCAAAGCAGCCGATGCCCTTCAGCCAGTTCAGGTCATCCTTGTAGAAGATCTGCAGAAGGTATCGATTTGATAGTGAACCTCATTTTTTAAAAATCCATTTACAGTTCGTATGAGAAGACAGAAAAAAAAAATGACGACATTGCATAATAGGACACGAAAACTGCCTGGTAAGAAGAAATATCTTTGCAGATAAAGAACGAGCATATTGCGGCTTGATTTAAGAGATTACAATTTTTGTTTTTACTCACATCACTCAGCTGCTCGTTGACTTTGCGCGCCTGGACGTACATTTGCATATCGGGGAGGCAGATCCACTCGTGCAGATATTTGCGGTAGTTGATTTCGCTGACTTTGGTCTGGGTTTTATGGGCCGTTATGATCTCCAGCATGTCTGCCGGGATGTGGTTCTTTGCCTTGGCTTTCTCATAGTCCTCTTTGTACAGGCGCTACACAGACGAGCGGTTCTTTTGTAATCACAAACCTGGAGATGTATCGCAATGGCAAATAAAGCTGTGAACAAAACTTTGCCTTACGTCCAGGACCAGTCTTCCGGCCTTGAGGCAGCGGAGGGTGCCTGGATCGTCCTCAAGAGACTTGGGAAGGCTGTAGATTGACTTGAACTTTTCATAGTCCTCCTTGTACTTCACCTGAAATGCAGGGCAAGACCGTAGTTCATGAAGCATCCTTGAGAGAGTGAGAATTGCAGGTTTTCACCTCGCCGGTAGGTGTGAAAAGTATGCGATGTGACCAATGGGGTTTCGGTGCAAATCTAAATCTACATAGTTTCCTTTCAAGTTTGTTGGCAGGACGCGGAATCTGGAGAAGATACTCACGCTGCTCGCAACGAACTTCTGATTCTTGGCGTGTTGCATGGAGCGCGAGTCGTGGGGGATCTGGTAGCCCTTGGCCTTGAATTTGTCCCAGGCATCAGTGTAGATTTTCTGAAAATCCAAAATGAATGACGATGGTCACTTCACCGATTTCTGTGTCTACAATGAGCTTCGCCGAGCGTCTCTACGTACGTTGCTGAAGTGGTGTTTGAAGTTGCGGCATCTGGCATAGTCGTAGGTATCAAGAACGGTGGTGTACGCGTGCTTCCCCTTATGGTAAGCCTCCCGGTAGTTCAGCTGTCGGCGCAGGTGGAAAAAGTACTCGCACTTTGTACTCACATTTTAGCATACGGGACCCTCCCCCTCTGCCCCATCAAGTAACTTACGTCACTGGCCCAGGTGTTGCCCAGCACAGCAGTCACATAGGCGGGCGTGTCGGTCACGATGGAGTAATTATTGAATTCCTTCTTGGCCTCGTCTCTATATTGCAGCTGAAAGGCAAAATGTGGGTGGTGTAATTCTGTTATGGTTTCACATGATTGATTGATATTGCCTGATGTCGCGCACTTCACTCTGCAGGTCATAGGCCTTCTTGGCACGAATGATCTCTGGCGTGTCCCACACGTAGCAGCCGATGCCCTTCATCCAGGTCAGGTCCTCTTTGTAAAACACCTGGTCGTCGATGACAAGAGAAAGAAAAAACATTAACTGCTGAGCCCTGAACTATGGGAGACCTGAACCCTAATATAAAAACACTCTGCCGGGTAAATAGACACTTTATGTACGCGCTATTTGTGTCTACATTGGGAGATGTCGAAACAGCGGGAGTAAAGCATCATAATAATTCTCACACTAATCATAAGGAACAGAAGTGATAAGGAGGCTGATAACAATGATGAACCTCAAGCCGGAAAATACTACATGCATAAAACCGAACGAAATGTTTAGGATAAAGAAACATACATCGCTGAGAATCTCGTTGGTTTTGCGGGCTCGAATAGCATCCTCCTGATCTGGGTGGCAGGTCCACTGGTGGAGGTATGTGCGGTACAGGACGTCGCTCAGCATGTCCTGGGAACGCTTGGCCACCTTGTTTGCAATAATGTCGGATGGGATGTGGGTCTTCATCTTGGTCTGGTGGTAGTTCTGATGGTAAAGCCTCTACAACGGAAACAGCGGGAATGATGGGGGTTATGAAATTGTAGTGGTCTTAGAAGAGTACTGTTCCAAAGCACATTTTCGGTTGACGGATGTATTAAAAAAAAGACAGTGAACAGGGAATGATACCAAACACGGTGGTAGAGATTCCGCCTCAGTTTGAGCCAGCGACACCCTTGACATGGGTTATGGTGACTCTATTAAGATTTGCTCACCAGTCCCTTGTTCTTCTCCTGATCACCACACCGGATCACCTCAGGAAAGTCCACCAGGGTTCCGGCCAAGTGGTGTCCCCTGGTCTTCTCGTAGGAGTCATGGTACTTGACCTAGAACAGGAATATCATAGAAATTACAATCTGTACCGGTAGAAGAACCAGGAAGAAAGGACAACCGGTCCCGTACTCACATCACTGCTAATGTCTCTGCTCTTCTTTCCGATGACAAGTGGAATATACTCGTGGTCCAGATGGTAGTCAGCAGCCTTGGATTTGTTCCAGTGCAGTTTGTAGAGTTTCTGAAATCAGACAACGCTTACATCGTTATAGCACGCGTAATTGAGAGAAAAAAAAAAATCGCAAATGAACAAGCCATTTGACTCTCGGTACCTCGCTGATGTTCTTGGACATCTCCCTGCTGTGGGCCAGTTGAGGAGTGTCATCGGAACCGATGTACTGACCCCTCTCTGCATTGAAGGTCTCTTTGTACTTCAGCTGTGGATGGAAGAAAAGGTGTGAGAATGGCGGCACTTTACCACATCTAAGGCCTTTCCCTTTATATGTTAGCATTAAGCCAGTCAGACAAAAATGTTCTCGTATCGTGGGTGGGTCTGGAATGTATCCCCTGAAAAAAAAAGATTTATTATGTTGCAATTCACATAGTCGGTTCATGTTGGAATACATACGTCGCTGACGTTAACAGCGTTGGTCTTGGCCAAGAGAAGTTCTGGACGGTCCACCACCAGGGTGAATTTTCCAAAGCCGTCAATTGCGTTTTTCTTGTAGATCCTCTGTGAGAGACATGAAGACATCCAGATGAGAGACAAAATACTGAGATGAAGTAAGGCCGAATCATACAGCAGACCAGAACTTACATCGTTGAGAATTTCCTGCGCTTTTCTGGCTTTGACGTGGTCCACTGATTCGTGGGCCACCCACCCACAGCCTCGAATCCATTCCATATCCGCTTTGTACACAAACTAAGAAGAAGAACAAAATCTGGGAGTTATTTGAAGTCGGAGCAGTCAATTTTTGTCTTCATTTATCTGACGACTCACATCACTCTGAAGATCGTAGGCTTTCCTGGCCTGGATGACGTCATTCTGGTCGGGGAGGCACGTCCACTCGTGCAGGCGGGTCCTGTAGAGGTCATCGTTGACTTGCATCTGACACTTCTTAGCCAGCTCGAACTGCAGCATGTCCACGGGCAGGTTGAATTTGGTCTTGGACTTGTTGAAGTCTTTCTTGTAGAGCGCATCGCTGGCGATCTTGGCCGAGTTCAAGGCCAGCATGAGAAGCGGGTCGTCCTGGATGCTGAGGGCCCCAATGTGGTGGCCCACCTGCTTGCGGTATCCCTCCAGGTATTTATGCTGCCGGACAGATGATGGCAATCGGTTGCACTTCCAGTTTGAGAAATTCTGTCAACATTTGAACAGCTACTCACTTTGCTTTGGACTTTGGTGTTGCTAATACACTGCTTGATGGACACCGCATTTTCAGGCATGAAGTACCCAGTGGCCTTGGCCTTTTCCCAGTCTTGGGAATACAGTTTCTGCAAAACAAAAATGCTGTTTTTGACAAATGACAAAAAACAAAAACAAAAAAAAAAACAGATACAGATTCCAAACAGAGGTGCTGATTATAAAATATATTCATGCGTAATCGCTACAGACATATTTTGCTAGTCCAACGATCCAACTGTCGCTGCATACAAAGTGCCAGCTCGGACACACCAAAACAAAGACAGTTAAAACAATAAATGAACAAGATAAAAACCTTACCGGATGAACGTTCTTAGCTGCCGCTTTGGCTGTGACCATGGTCGGAGTCTCCACCAGCGTGTAATGGGTCTTGTCCCGATGCCAAGCCTCACGGTACTTGGTCTGAAAAGAGGTTCAAAGTGGGTTACCGAGAGCTAAAGACAACCTTAAAGGAGAAAAAAAAAAAAGTGTCAAAATCTGGACCTCATTGAGGATGTCGGCGGCATTCTTAGCCCAAGTCAAGTCGACTCGATTGGGTGGAACACCAAATTTCTGCTCGTCCAGCTTGACCCGGTAGCCTCTCTGTAACAACACGAGGGACACGATTGTGAGATGACTTCTCAAATGCACTTGTTCTGTAAAGCAAAACGCAAGCTGGCCTACCTCAGCCAGGATCTTCTGTGCATTTTTCACCCTCAAAACCTCGACGGACTCGTGCGGAATCCAACCGCATCCACGTAGCCACTCCAAGTCTGCTTTGTACACAGCCTGAGGGGCGATACAACACAAAACTTATTCCACCATTCTGACTTTTGTCGTATTTCCAGGTTAGTCGGCTCTCCAGCCACTGTTCTTCTGGCGGCAGGAGGGAGGCGGAATCAGGCGTAATTGTTTGCCCTTTGGTAAAAAGGTCGAGTCCAAAGCGCTAATTCTTCTTGACCATTAATCGACTGTCCTATGTCACAGTTGTGCAAATTTACACGACAGCGGGTCTACAAACTTACATCACTCTGGAGATCGTAGACCTTCCTGGCCTGTACCACATCATTGGAGTCAGGCAGGCACGTCCACTGATGCAAGCGAGTCCGGTAGTTGAAGTCGTTGACTTGAATCTGGCACTTTTTGGCCAGTTCGAGACTCAACATGTCCACGGGCAAGTGGAATCTGGTCTTGGACATGTTGAAGTCCTTTTTGTAGAGGTTGTCACTGGCGATCTTGGCCGAGTTCAGTGCCAGCATGATGAGGGGGTCGTCTTTGACGCTGAGAGCCCCGACGTGGTGGCCCACTTGCTTGCGGTATCCTTCCTTGTACTTGTACTAAAAGAAGAAGAAAGAAAGGTGAGTTTCTTATTTTCAAACCTCAACCGTGTCTTTTTCTTACATCGCTAATGATATCTCTGGATGCTTTGGCCTTCAGGACAGCGATGGCATCCTCCTTGATCTGGTAGCCTTTGGCCTTGTGGTCATCCCATTCCAAGGTGTACAGTTTCTGAGTAGAATCAGTCGGGACATGTTGGAAAAACAGATCATTCCGGATTGGCAGAAAGTGGACGCAGCTTAAACCTCACATTGCTGATGTTGATCGCATTTGTCTTGGACAGCTCCATGGCCGGCGTGTCTGGCGGAAGAATGAAGGACGTTTTTTCGTTCTCCCACATTTCCTTGTATTTCCACTGTTGAAAAGAAAACAAGTGCCTTTAGTTTTCATCTCAAAAGGCCGGACCACATATAGTAATTAAAGAAGGCGCTAATTCGTGCAGAATGATGGAAGGAGTAGAAAGGTGAAATTTGGCAAATAATAAATGTGTGTGAATATGTGAGTGACTCTCAGCATCAAGTGTTTTTTTTTTCCTGACTCACTTCACTGAGGTTATCTGAATTTTGCTTGGCCAGGATGACTGAAGGCAAGTCCACCACGCTGGTGAACTTGATCGCGCTGGGCGGCTCGCGGTAAAGTCTCTCGTTGAGGATTTTCTGTGCTTTCCTGACTTTGATGACATCCACCGATTCGTGAGGTGACCAGCCGCATCCCTTCAGCCACTCCAGGTCACTTTTGTACACAGCCTGCAAGATACGGTTCATTTAAAAACGGCAAATCACGTACATCTGCAAATGTTCAAGATAGCTTTGCCAAAATATCAAAATGGGGACTTTGTGGCCAATATATTCACCCCAGTCTCTTTTTGTCCTTTGAGAATTCAGACATTCAGTTGCGTTTTTACATACAGACACAAACACACGCATATTTATATCTAAAAGTAAGCAAGTCCAGGTTAAGAATTTGAGCGCTGAGCAAAGGTAACGGCAGACGTCTACGAACTTACATCACTCTGCAGGTCGTAGACCTTCCTGGCCTGGACCACGTCGTTGGAATCCGGCAGGCAGGTCCACTGGTGCAGGTGCGTGCGGTAGTTAAAATCGTTGACTTGCTGCTGGCACTTCTTGGCCAGCTCGATGGACAGCATGTCCACGGGCAGGTTGAAGTGGGTCTTGGTCTTTTCAAAATCCTTCTTGTAGATGTTGTCACTGGAGATCCTGGCGGCGTGGGCGGCCAGCAAGATCAGAGGGTCGTCTTCAACGCTGCGAGCCCCGACGTGGTGGCCACACTGCCTGCGGTATCCCGTCTTGTACTTGTACTGAAATTCCAAAGCGGCGTTATTGTTCTGCGTCCTAGCAAGAGTGTACAAACCTGCGGCTGAAAGAGGGGCTGCGGACTTACGTCACTGACGATGTCACGAGAGGCCTTGGCTGCTACAATCGAAATGGCGTCTTTGGGGAGCAAGTAGCCATTTTTAATGTTTTCCAGGTAGCCTTCATGGTAATGTCTCTATTGGAAGGAAATGATAGTCTAAGGCTGATGTACAGTACTCATAAAAAAAAAAATAAGGCATGTTGGGCTTTGGGGTGACATTTCAAGACGAACCTAAAATGCCCTACAAACTTTCCAGGTGAATTTAATTCGATGGATTTTCGTCCATGTGGGGGTTTTGCTATATTACCCCAGATATAAAACGAAAGACGACTGCAGTGCAACTTCACTCTGGTTCATTTTGAAATCTCACCTGAAATTCTCAGTGTAATAACTATTTGTGAGTAATGTGCAGTTTATGGATTGTGAACATTAAAACATTGTCCGAGTATCTTGCATTCATGAGTGTGTTACCTGACTGGTGTTGAGCTTATTCTGCTTGGCCAAGATGATCTCAGGTGTGTCAGGCATGATGTGAATGTTAATTTTGTCGTTCTCCCACGCGGACACATACGCTTTCTGTCAACATCAAAAAGGTGGATTGTTGAACAGGCTGTTTTCTTTTTTTTTTTATTTCTGACGTACAAATCGGTGTACACAGTCCGTACCTTGTCCATGATTTGGGCGTTGGCCAGAGCGAGGGCAAACGGAATGTCTTCGGTCGTGGCGGTGAATTTGAAGTTGCTGGGAGGCTGGCGATACAGCTTCTCACTCAAGATCTCCGATGCTTTCTTTGCTTTCTCCACATCCACTGAGCCAATGGGGACCCAACCGGATCCCTTGATCCATTGCATGTCTGCTTTGTACACAGCCTAAAGGAGGGACGATGCCGTTTTCGTTGGTGAGCGTGCTCCTCAGGAAAACACGTGTTAATTACAGTGGTATCGCTCAAGGGAAGCGATTAAAATCGCGGGAACACGGTAATAGTATTTGATTTCAATCGAGACAAATAGGTCATGGAATGAATTTAAGTGAGGGTATCACTTCACTAACTACTCACGTCACTTTGAAGGTCATACGCCTTCCTGGCCTGGACCACATCGTTGGAGTCCGGCAGACAAGTCCAGTTGTGCAGGCGAGTTCTGTAGTTGAAGTCGTTGACTTGTATCTGACATTTCTTGGCCAGTTCCAAGTTCAGCATGTCCACGGGCAGGTTGAATTTGGTCTTGGACTTGTTGAAGTCCTTCTTGTACAGATTGTCGCTCGCAATCTGGCCCGAGTTCAGGGCCAGCATGATCAGAGGATCGTCATGGATGCTCAGCGCGCCGATGTGGTGGCCAACCTGCTTGCGGTATCCCGTCTTGTACTTGTACTGCGTGAAGAGCAAAGTGACAACTCAAAGAGGTGAAACGTCAGTTAAAGTGACACCGAAAAATTTCTAATTCATGTTTTCATACATCACTAATGATTTCTCTTCCGCGTTTGGCTGCTTTGACGGAAATTGCGTCAGGTTTCATGACGTAGCCCTGTCGGAACATATCCTGGACGGCTTGCTTGTACACATTCTGGAGGTAGAAAAACAAGGCAAATATTTTTCATTGGAATAGATCTCACATACACACAGGTTAAATATATACCTTCTGCAATTTTTTTGAAAGTGAAATTGGATAATGTCTCATGGCACCGCAGATGCGCAATCGCACACCGGCTTGGAATCACCGTATACAAAAAAACACACGGACTCTACCTGGCTGAGGTTGTAAGCGTTTGATTTGGAGAGCAGAATCTCAGGCAGGTCAGCACCGATATGGTTCTTCGCTTTTTCGGCCTCCCAAGCAGAAATGTAGTATTTCTGTCGCGACAAGTCAAACGTTACGGGAATGAAGGAACCTTATCTTTTGATACAATGAGGAGAAAAAAAGGACATGCCTTGTTCATGATCTCAGCGTTTGCTTTGGCAAGGACCATGGGTATGGCAGTCATGTCTGTGGTGAACTTCAGAGAGTCTTGCTTCTGCTTGTAAAAGCGATCGCTAAGAATCTTGCCGGCATGCTTGACTTTCTGCACTTCTGGTGAGCCAACGGGGATCCATCCCACACCAACAATCTCATCCAAGTCGGCTTTGTACACAGCCTGATGGGGAGTTTCACATTGAGATGACACGAGAAGTCAGAAGCACAGTCCGGAAGTAACAGTTGTTGATGACTTCTATTAGTCTTACATCACTCTGCAGATCGTAGGCCTTCCTGGCCTGGACGACGTCATTGGAGTCGGGCAGGCACGTCCATTCGTGTAAGCGAGTCCGGTAGTTGAAGTCGTTGACTTGTATCTGGCACTTTTTGGCCAGTTCAAGACTCAGCATGTCCACAGGGAGATTGAAGTGGGTTTTGGACTTGTTGAAGTCCTTTTTGTAGAGGGCATCACTGGCGATCTTGGCCGAGTTGAGGGCCAGCATGATCAGGGGGTCATCTTTGATGCTGCGAGCACCAATGTGGTGGCCCACTTGTTGCCGGTATCCTGTTTTGTATTTGTACTGATGGAAACGGGGAGGAAAAAAAAGAGCTCAAACCTTCCCTCCATAGTAGTGACCTGTCATTAATTTGTATCCTTTCTGTAATGTAAGACACTGGGTGATAAAATTCCCCTAATGATTAAAATGTCTCTCTCTCTCTCTCTCTCTCTCTCTCCGTTTACTGAGTGCTTTGTGAAATAATAGTGACTTACATCACTGACAATTTCCCGAGAGGCCTTGGCACTCTTCAAAGCAATGGCATCTGGTGGCAGGAAATAGCCCCTTTTGATGGCGGCCTCATAACCTTGCCTGTAGTGTTTCTGTCAAGAAAAAAATCACAAATAAGTACAGAAGAAAGTACTCGAAGTAGACTGGTACATGGTGAGAGCATGTGATGCGACCAAGGTAAGACTGTAAAACGGGTACAAGTGCGATGCTAACCCTGCTCATGTTGATAGCGTTCTGCTGCGAGAGGAAGATCTCCGGAGTGTCCGGGTTGATGTGCACGTTGGTTTTTTCACGCTCCCACGCTTCGATGTAGAGACGCTGGAACAAAACACAATTATTGACGGAACAACTATCATTACCGTCTTGTTTATCCCCCTCAAGATATCTACCTTGTTCATTGTCAAAGCGTTATTCTTTGCCAGTTCAAAGTTCATTGCGTTAATCGGGCTGCTGAAGGGGATTTTGCTGGGAGGTTGGCGGTATTTCCTCTCGCTCAAGATTTCAGCAGCCTTCTTGGCCTTCTCCACCTCAATCGAGCCATCTGGGGCCCAGCCGAGACCTTGGAGCCACTTCAAGTCTGCTTTGTAGACGGACTATGGAGAGCAGTGATGGAAGGATTCAGGATGAGGAAAAAAAAAAGCCAGAAGAGTTCATTTTTCATTTTTATTACAGCTACACTCACATCACTCTGCAGATTGTAGGCATGTCTGGCTTGGCGAACGTCGTTGGAGTCGGGGAGGCAGGTCCAGTTGTGCAGGCGGGTGATGTAGTTGGCGTGGTTGACCTGGATCTGGTTCTTCTTGGCCAGCTCGAAGGCCAGCATGTCCACAGGCAGGTTGAATCTGGTCTTGGACTTGTTGAAGTCCTTTTTGTAGAGGAAGTCGCTGGCGATTTTGGCGGAGTTCAGAGCCAGCATGAGGAGAGGGTCGTCGCGGATGCTGAGGGCCCCGATGTGGTGACCGACCTGCTTGCGGTATCCAGTCTTGTACAGGTACTTTGGAGGAAATGACACATCTCAATGGTTACGTGGCAGAATCTAGGAAAACTGGATCTCACTTGGAATAAATTTAAATGCTTACATCACTGGCGATATCCCTGGATGCTTTGGCCGCTCGGACGGAAATGGCATCATTGCGCAGGTCGTAACCCTTCTTCTTGGCGTCTTCATTTGCCTGCTTGTACAGTTTCTGTAACAGGCCAAAACACCCGTTAAGAATAACCGACGTCGGCAAGTTTGAGCTCAAAGCGCAATTTGTTTGCTTACCGAGCTGTAGTTGTAACTGTTGGCTTTTGCGAGAACGACGTCCATGGCGTCAGGCATGACATGGATCATGGTCTTCGCATGTTCCCAGGCGTCTATGTACGCTTTCTGCCATCACAAATGACAAGACCAACTGAAGTTGAATGTCCAAGATATCGCATGCATTTTTTCATTAAAAGTCTTTGGATGTCACACTGAAATTAATAATTGTTTGCTTTGTTATTGATAACACCAATCTGAGATTCTTTTTTTTTCCCCTCACAATAATTTTAACGACAGCAAATAGCCTCTTGCCCTTCCTAAAACCTTGACATATGGATTTTTGCCTGTTTTACTGCCGCTTCTCCTCTCCTCTCCTCTTTCTTTCCTCTTCTTTTTCTCTTTGTAGCCCTTGGTGGAAAATGGATGGACGTCCCTGGTCTAAATCCTGCAGGACTGTATTTCTTCCTGAGACTATGACCTCATATGTAGTGATTGTAACGCATGAATACCTGGTTCATGACTTGAGCGTTCGCCTTGGCCAGCACCATGGGCATGTCCTCGGTTGAGAGCTTAAACTTGTAGTCGCTCGGGTGCTGGCGGTACTTCCGTTCACTCAGGATCTCACCGGCTTTCTTCACCTTCTCCACATTCAACGAACCAATCGGGATCCAGCCGACACCCTGCTGCGTCTTCAGGTCTTCCTTGTAAACATTCTGGCCAGGACGGAAAGGATTCAGTGAAGAATTATCCTCAAATTTTTCAGAACATAATTTCATTAGAATAGGGTGTATCCTCGCTACATGGCGAGTCATTGGTCGTGTCCCTGGAATTTTAAAAAATGTGTTTTCACATGATGAAAACCTGTATTATAAAGAAACTATTTTATAATACAGGTTTTCTGCTATTGTAGGTGGGTCTGGAACTTATCCCTTAAATGGAGGTTCACTGTATTCATTTTCATACATCACTCTGCAGGTTGTAGGCGTGTCTGGCTTGGCGAACGTCGTTGGAGTCGGGCAGGCAGGTCCAGTTGTGCAGGCGGGTGATGTAGTTGGCGTGGTTGACCTGGATCTGGTTCTTCTTGGCCAGCTCAAAGGCCAGCATGTCCACCGGCAGGTTGAATCTGGTCTTGGACTTGTTGAAGTCCTTTTTGTAGAGGAAGTCGCTGGCGATTTTGGCGGAGTTCAGAGCCAGCATGAGGAGAGGGTCGTCGCGGATGCTGAGGGCCCCGATGTGGTGGCCGACCTGCTTGCGGTATCCGGTCTTGTACAGGTACTGGGATAGGGATATGTCCGGGATTATTTGGAAGAAGAGATAAGGTGAGCTTTGGCATTCACAATGCAGGTCTGAGGGCACCTTAACATTAATTTCAGTCAACAATAGAAGGCAGTAGGATAATGTCAAAATGGTAGCCCAATGAGATAGCTAGAGCATCTAGAAAATTTTGGACTTAAATTCCCCTTTAGCTTCCCATTGGGAACATTTTCACCCCTTTGAAACCTGAGAGATAAGTAGTATTCCTGTTAGGTTTGGTGAAAACCAAATGACTTACATCGCTCGCAATGTCTCTGGAAGCCTTAGCTGCGAGGATGGAAATGGCATCTTTGCCAAGTTCGTAGCCCAGCTTCTTGGCCTCCTGATATGCTTGCTTGTACAGTTTCTGAAGATACAGAAGATAGCAGATGTAAAGACACACGTGTTGAAGCAGAAACTGGGTCACGGCAACCAAAGTGCTCACTTACCAAGCTGTAGTTCATGTTGTTGGCTTTTGCAAGGACGACATCCATTGCATCGGGCAAGATGTGGATCATGGTCTTCTCGTTTTGCCATGCTTCCTGATATGCTTTCTAAAATAAACGCCGGACATAGCAGGTTATGAATGGCCAGTCTATTATAAAATGATCTGTCCTAATTAGGCTTTGTGTCACATTATCATTTGAATACCTTGTTCATGACCTTGGCGTTGGCTTTGGCCAGCACCATGGGCATATCCTCGGTTGAGACTTTAAACTTGTAGTTGCTCGGGTGCTGGCGGTACTTCTGTTCACTCAGGATCTCACCGGCTTTCTTTACCTTTTCCACATCCACCGAACCAACGGGGACCCAGCCGACACCCTTCTGCAACTTCAGGTCTTCCTTGTAAACATTCTGGTCACGACGGAAAGGATTGAGTGAAGAATTATCCTCAAATTTACAAACACATCATTTCATTAGTATACATTGTTTCCTCGCGAGATTGCGGTTCATTGTTTGTGCCCCTGGAATTTCTACATGATTTTTTGCTATGACAGGTGGGTCTGGAACTTATCCCTGCAATAAACGGAGATTAAGTGTATTCTATTCATTTTCCTACATCACTCTGCAGGTCGTAGGCGTGTCTGGCTTGGCGAACGTCGTTGGAGTCGGGCAAGCAGGTCCACTCGTGCAGGCGGGTGATGTAGTTGGCATGGTTGACCTGGATCTGGTTCTTCTTAGCCAGCTCGAAGGCCAGCATGTCCACAGGCAGGTTGAATCTGGTCTTGGACTTGTTGAAGTCCTTTTTGTAGAGGAAGTCGCTGGCGATTTTGGCGGAGTTCAGAGCCAGCATGAGGAGAGGGTCGTCGCGGATGCTGAGGGCCCCGATGTGGTGACCGACCTGCTTGCGGTATCCGGTCTTGTACAGGTACTTTGGAGGAAAAGACACATCTCGATGGTTATGTGGCAGAATCTAGGAAAACGGGGGCTCACTTGGAATAAATCTAAATGCTTACATCACTGGCGATATCCCTGGATGCTTTGGCCGCTCGGACGGAAATGGCATCATTGCGCAGGTCGTAACCCTTCTTCTTGGCGTCTTCATTTGCCTGCTTGTACAGTTTCTGTAACAGGCCAAAACACCCGTTAAGAATAACCGACGTCGGCAAGTTTGAGCTCAAAGCGCAATTTGTTTGCTTACCGAGCTGTAGTTGTAACTGTTGGCTTTTGCGAGAACGACGTCCATGGCGTCAGGCATGACATGGATCATGGTCTTCGCATTTTCCCAGGCGTCTTTGTACGCTTTCTGCCATCACAAACAACAACACAAACTGAAGTTGAATGTCCAAGACATCGCATACATTTTTTCAGATCTTTGGATGTCACGCTGAAATTCATAATTGTTTGCTTTGTGATTGAAAACACCAAGCTCAGATTCTTTTTTTTTTTATCCTCACGATATTTTTATTTGGATGTTTGTCTTGTCCTTGTCCCAAGTGTACGTGTGTAGTGTAACTGGCAAAACTTGGTCATCCTTGAACGCTAGTAAAAGCCTACCTTGTTCATGACCTGAGCGTTGGCTTTGGCCAGCACCATGGGCATGTCCTCGGTTGAGACCTTAAACTTGTAGTTGCTTGGGTGCTGGCGGTACTTCTGTTCACTCAGGATCTCACCGGCTTTCTTCACCTTCTCCACATCCAACGAACCAATGGGGATCCAGCCAGTGCCCTGAAGTGCCTTCAGCTCTTCCTTATAGACCACCTGAATGAGGCAAGAGGGTATTAACAGGTAATTAACAGACAGGTATTCGCCTGAATTACCCTTTATATCTTAGACCAGGGGTTCTCAAATGGTTTGGGTTGCGGAACCCCTTACACTTTCTCCTATAAAAAATAGGACTCTATTAAGGGAGGAATGTTGTAACGTTTGGCAAATATCTGGTGCTCCCATTTTTGTATCTAGTTTTACATTTGCCAAAATAATCATTTTTATTACAGCTACACTCACATCGCTCTGAAGATTGTAGGCATGTCTGGCTTGGCGAACGTCGTTGGAGTCGGGCAGGCAGGTCCAGTTGTGCAGGCGGGTGATGTAGTTGGCGTGGTTGACCTGGATCTGGTTCTTCTTGGCCAGCTCGAAGGAAAGCATGTCCACTGGCAGGTGGAATCTGGTCTTAGACTGGTTGAAGTCCTTCTTGTAGAGGGCGTCGCTGGCGATCTTGGCGGAGTTCAGGGCCAGCATGAGGAGAGGGTCGTCCTGGATGCTGAGGGCCCCGATGTGGTGGCCGACCTGCCTGCGGTATCCGGTCTTGTACTTGTACTGCGAGAAAACAAAGGTTTTGTCACAAACTGGCCGATAAGCAGAAGGAACCGTACAGATTGCAGCAGATTAGGGTAACTGACTTGGACATGTGGTAATAAATGAGGAAAGGGTGCTAAATAGATGTAAGGCGTACTGAAGTGTAGATGACAAAGGAAAAGGTGGAACGCGTGACAGAAATGAAAAGGAAAGGCTGATCGGAATTGCGATTTTCTTTGGGGGTGATGCAGATAGACATAATCAGGAATGAGCTCCTCAGAGGGACACCAAAGACTTGAAGGTTTGGAGACGAAGCTAGAGAGGCCAGACTGAGACGAGGTTGGATGTGTGGAGTCGAGGCACTGGATATATCGGTAGAAAGATTCTGAGAATGGAGCTGCGTGGTAGGAGGCAAAGAAGAGGACTGACAAAAGAGATTGTATGGATGTCAAATTTGTAGCGAGCTGGAGTGAGAGCAGGAGATGCGGAGGACAGGGACAGACGCCAGAGGATGATAGGGTTAAGCTCAAAGAAAAAAATACACTTACGTCACTTGCGATAATAGTGGAGGCTTTAGCAGCCTGCACGGAGATGGCATCGGCACGAAGGTTGTGACCCTTCTTCTTGGCACGCTCATTGTCCAGTTTGTACCGTTTCTAATGACAACAAGGACATCATCGCTTCAAGTCGTTTGGTCACAATGTGCAGCAACTGTGTGGTCACGAAACAATAGTTCTGAAGCCCTCACCTCGCTGTAGTTTTTCCTATTTTCCCGAGCGAGAACAATGTCCATCGCGTCAGGCATGATGTGAATGGTTCGCTTGGCGTGGTCCCAGGCTTTGGTGTAAGATTGCTGGAAGCAGAAGTTTGAGTTGTCAGACATGAAAAAGGGCAAGAACAGATCTTTTTGTCCCTTGCAGTACCTTATCCATGATCTGGTTGTTGGCGGAGGCCAGTGCCAGGTCCATAGAGTGCATGTCCTTGGTGAATTTAAAGTTGCTGGGATGCTGGCGGTACCCGTGGTCCCTTAGGATGTTGCCGGCTGTTCTGACTTTCTCCATATCCAGTGAGCCGACGGGAACCCAACCGATTCCTCGGATGTAGTTGTGATACTCACTCTTGTATTTGTTCTGTGGGAAAAGCGGTGGATGTTCCTCGTGTCAGTTATTCATGGTTTTTCGCAGGGTGGTAATGAATAATGACTGCACTGCAATTTAAAATCTTGAAGCTTCTCATTGGGTACTTACATCGCTGGCGATAGACTGCATGTTCCGGGCCAGTTCCAGGTTCATAGCATCAGGCAGGACGGTGTAGTGAGGGATAAGCCTCTTATATCCAGTCATGGTTTGCACGGATGAGGCGTGCTTGGCGTGGGCCAAGCTCAACATGTCCACCGGCGAGTGGTACTTGAGCTTGGACTTGTGGTAGTCCTTCTTGTAGTTCTTGTCGCTCTGCATCTTGGCCACCTCCATGTAGTGGACCAGCAGGGGGTCGTCCCGCAGGCTACGGAAGCCCACGTGGTGGCCTCGCGCCTTCTCGTAATCCAGTTTGTACTTGTACTGGAACGAAAACAAACAAACAAAAAAAAGACCAGGTCTTATAACACCAAATTGGCGATTGGGTATCGGGACTTATAAGTCAAGGTACCACTATATTGACTTGAATTCCAGACTCACATTGCTAGCAATGTTGGTACCAGACTTGGCGGCCAGAATTGGGATGGCGTCTGCTCTGAGATTGTGGCCTCTGTTGGCCATTTCCAAAAGGCCTGCTTTGTACAGTTTCTGTAGAAGGAAGAAAGTAAATCATGTCGCTGAAATAAACGAGAATAGTCATCATTTCTCGTCTTACGTTGCTCATGTTCATGGCGTTGGCCTTGGCCAGGACAATCTCCGGAGCATCCGGCATGACGTGGACGTCCAGTTTGGCCTTTTCCCAAGCGGCCGTGTAAGCTTTCTGAAAAAGAATTCCACAATAAAATGAGCATTTTTTTGGTGGATGTAAGCGCGAGAGAGATCAATTTTACCGTGCCGCACCTTATTCATAATCTGATTGTTGGCCGTGGCCAGAGCCATGTCCATGGAGTCCATCAGTTTGCTGTGCTTGAAGTTGGACGGGTGAGTGCGGTACTTGTTCTCGTTTAAGATGTCCCCGCCGACCTTGGCGGTTTCTACCGCGAGCGAGCCGATGGGGATCCAGCCCATACCTTTAACGTAGTTGTTCCAGTCTGACTTGTAATTGCACTGGAGAGAGAGAAAGACATCATGAGTGAATGAAATCAATCTCAGACCTGAGTTTTAAAAGCCACTGGAACTACATTTTAAAAGACAGCCCAAAGCTATGACTTGTCTTCTTATTACCCTGAAGAACATTCATGTCAAACCCAAGACTTGCGAGCCATATGCGTATGCATTTTTTTACCTCCCCCACCGTTATATTGACCTATGTGACGTACTCCCACCTCTGAAACGGCACTGGGCAAAAACTTGCATTGCCTTTAATCACAATGATATACACTTCAACTTACATCACTAGACTGAGTGTTCATGGTACGAGCCAGCACAAAGTTCATGGCATCCGGGAGGAGGGCGTTGGTATGGAGGATCTTCCTGTACCCAGCCATGGTCTGCGCGGCCGAGGCCTGCTTGGCGTGGACCAAGCTCAACATGTCCACCGGCGTGTGGTACTTCAGCTTGGCCTTGTGATAGTCCTTCTTGTAGTTCCTGTCGCTCTGCATCTTGGCTACCTCCATGTAGTGGACCAGCAGGGGGTCGTCCCGGAGGCTACGGAAGCCCACGTGGTGGCCTCGCGCCTTCTCGTAATCCAGTTTATATTTAAACTGCAATGACGAGTTGAATAAGTAAGTTGATGACGCGTAGTGGTTTGCGGTGCAGTTTAGGAATTTTTTTTTTTTTTTTTTTTTTTTTTTAGTACGTACGTTACTGGCGATGTTTGTTCCTGACTTGGCGGCTACGATGGGAATGGCATCTGCTTTCAGATTGTAGCCCCTCTTGGCCATCTCCGCCACACCAGATTTGTAAAGTTTCTGCAAAAAAATAAATAAAATAAAACAGTCCTTACATGATGCACTGTTTTAACTATTGTTATTCTTGATTTGAAGTGAAATTACATCGCTCATGGTGAGAGCATTGGCCTTGGCCAGGACAATCTCAGGAGAGTCCGGCATGACGTGGATGATCCGTTTGTCCTTTTCCCAAGCAGCCGTGTAAGCTTTCTGAAAATGAAAATCACAAGAGGAAAACATGAGCATCGGCAATGCAGGTGTTATTTGGCAAAAATTTTGGCCTCCGTTTAATTGGTTAACTTTGAGGCACCTTATCCATGATCTGGTTGTTGACGGTGGCCAGGGCAATGTCCATCGAGTCCATCAGCTTGCTGTACTTGAAGTTGGATGGGTGAGTGCGGTACTTGTTCTCGCTTAGGATATCACCACCAACCTTGGCGGTCTCTACCGCGAGCGAGCCAACCGGGATCCAGCCAACGCCTTTGACGTAGTTGTTCCAGTCTGATTTGTAATCACACTGATGAGAGGAAAGAAGTCACCAGTGAGTGGACTGAATCTCGGACCTGAATTTTAAAAGCCACCTAAAAGTCCTGATGAAAAATGCCGATGCACGGGGGTCACATCGCACCGATCCAAAAATCGCTCAAAATCAAGAGATTCTGAAATTCAGTGTTGGTCTACAAATTCCGAAAGTCTTTTAGTTCCTAATGAGACTTCCAGAATTCTCCTTTCATAAGGTGTGTGCTTACCGAGTCTTACCTGTACCAAACAAAAACTGGGAATTTGAATGTTCAGTCTTCAGACTTACTCCTGACTTGAGCGTGTGACCAAATCCCATCTCGGATATGTTGTGACCAAGATGGAGGGGGTGATTTGACTCACGCCTTGCCGAACTGAACTTGAGGACACACTTACATCGCTAACTTGGGTGTTCATGGTACGAGCCAGCACGAAGTTCATGGCGTCCGGGAGGAGAGCGTTGGTGTGGTGCATCGTCCTGTAGCCGGCCATGGTCTGCGCGGCCGAGGCCTGCTTGGCGTGGACCAAGCTCAACATGTCCACCGGCGTGTGGTACTTCAGCTTGGCCTTGTGGTAGTCCTTCTTGTAGTTCTTGTCGCTCTGCAGCTTGGCCACTTCCATGTAGTGGACCAGCAAGGGGTCGTCCTGCAGGCTACGGAAGCCCACATGGTGGCCTCGCCCTTTCTCAAAGTCTTTCTTGTATTGCACCTACGAAACATGGCAAATGTGACTTTTTGTTTGCTTTTGAAGCTATATATATTTAGTTGTAATAAAAAAATCTAACCACTTCAACTATTACTGTTGTACACTTTTACTTTAGTTGGTCTTATCAGTGTGTGAGAAGCATGCTTGCAGACCCGCGCCGTATATATAACTGAGACCATTTCGGCTGTGAATTGGCTCTATATAAATAAAATTGAATTGAGTTTAAAGGGAGAGTGACGGTTTTACCCACATTGCTGGCAATATGTCTGCCGTGCTTGGCATGCTGAATGGGAATGGCATCGGATCTCAAGTCGTAGCCTTTAGCGATATCTTGGAGCCACTTTTGCTTGTACTGATTCTGCAGGGGACAAAACATACATTCAGACTTGTGTCCATCTCGTCAAAGAATGTGGCCAGAAATGTGGTCCTCTCACCTCACTGAGGGTATGAGCGTTAAATTTAGCCTGGATGAACTCAGGGCAGTCGGCCGGCAAGTTGTATGTGTGCTTGAACTTCTCGCCAGAAGCTTTGTAAGCGGCCTGCGGGGAGGTGAAAATCATACAAGTGTAAAGATCATGTGACACAATTTCAACACAAAAGACCGTCAATCGAGTCACTCGTACGGGGTCCAGCTGTTTGGAATTGCTCAGAGCCAGGGACATGTTCATGCTGTCACTGGTGCTGGTGAACTTGAACGTGCTGGGATGCTGACGGTAGCTGATCTCGTCCAGGGCGGCTTTGGCAGCTTTGGCCTTCTCCACATCCAGAGAACCAATCGGAACCCACCCGGATCCTTTGTAGTAGTTTGTGTAGTCGGCTTTGTAAACAATCTGCACAGAACCAGAGAGATGATATTTTTTGAAACCCCGTTATTCAGACTGGCAAGGTCGCAATCAAAAGCGAGAGCACGTACATCGCTCTGCATCTCCATCATGTCCTTGCAGCGGTGCAGTTGCAAGTTGTCGGGAAGAATCAAGTAGTCGTGCAGGTATGTCCTGTAGCCGATCATGGTCTGCACGGCCGAGCCGTGCTTGGCGTGGGCCACGCTCATCATGTCCACCGGCGTGTGGTACTTCAGCTTGGACTTGTGGTAGTCCTTCTTGTAGTTCTTGTCGCTCTGCATCTTGGCCACCTCCATGTAGTGGACCAGCAAGGGGTCATCCTGCAGGCTACGGAAGCCCACGTGTTGACCCTTTGCCTTCTCGTGTGCCAGTTTGTACTTGTACTGCAAAAAAATAAAGGGAAGAAATCTCAGATGGGAACAGTTGAAGACGCTGGGGCCGCCTAAGGAGGAGCACGTTGACCACTCACATTGCTGGCGATGTCTCTGGAGGTCTTGGCTGCCACGATGGGGATGGCATCCTCTTTCATATGATGTCCTTTGAGCAGATCTCGACGGTAAGTGTTGGTGTAGTAATTCTGAAAATGAACAGAGTGTGGTTATGTACAACAGTGTACCATTTATTTTTCTTCAATTCAAAGGACACTGCGATACTCCTGCCGGTATTGGCCACTGAGGGACAGAACAAAAGTCAAGGGAAGGCACTTTTATTTATAAAGCACATTTCATACAAAAGGCAATTCAATGTGCTTCACAGAACCTAAAAGCATTTAAAAATAAAATGCTTACCAGCAAAGTAAAGAAATCAAATATGGCATGAAATTGATTTGAATGCATCAAAGACCTTGTGGGGATAGTTATCATAGTTTTGAACCTGAATTTAAAAGAATTTAAACTTGAGGCTGACTTTGGGTGCAGCATTACAGCTAAATGCTGCTTCACCATGTTTGCTTTGAAACTTCTGGGTTTCTATTCAATTAGCATTTCTTGAAGATATTCAGGACCCAAAGCATTTGGTTATTAATGGACTAGTCCCAGAATTTTAAAATCTATTCTACCCTCCATAAAAGCATACAGACACACATGGAGACAGTCATTCCCCAGTAAGGAGTATTTTTTTTTGTCTTTCTTCACATAGGGTGAATAAATGCCTGTGAGCACTGTGCTAGTGTCTGTCTACATGTGTTGCATTGTTTGTGAGCATTTAGCTGAAGTGACGTATGAAGCTAACCTTGCTGATGTTGGCAGCGTTGTATTTGGCTAGCATCAGTTCAGGAGCATCAACAGGAAGATGATAGGTATGCATGAACTTCTCGCCGCTGGCCTTGTAGTCTTTCTGCGGTCAGAAGCAGGAAACTGGGTCAAAAAGGGTCAAGAGAGGGTCTCCAGAGAAAGAGTTTTGTGAAGAAGGCGCTCACCGCATTGAGAATCTGAGTGTTGGACTTGACCAGCTCCATGTTCATGGAGTCGAGTGGGCTGGTGAACTTGAGGGTGTCCGGGTGCTGTCTGTATTTCTTCTCGTCCAAAGCCGCCCCAGCCGCCTTCGCCTGCTCCACCTCCAGGGAGCCGATCGGAACCCAACCGATTCCCTTGATGCAGTTCTCGTAATCCTGTTTGTACTGGTGCTAGAAAACCAAAAAAAGGATTTTGGTCCACTACCTAAAAAGCTAGGCTTATATATCCCCAAAAAGCAGTGGTAGGATGAGTATTTGGTACCTGGACTCTGGGACGCTCAATGAGGACCTAATTAACATTCTAATCATTGATAGCAATTGGGTAATTTTGTTGCGAGCGTAAGCAACTTTTCAGACCACCTCAGCGACATTTCTTACACCAGATTCAGTAACTTTTCAAAGATTTTTAGAAATCTTTTAAAATAAATGCTTTTTTTTTTTTAGGCCCCCCAAAACACACCTAGCAAGACACTTTAAACTGAATGGCCTGAAACTTTTAGAACTTACCTCACTGGTGTTGTAGTTCACGGTGCGAGCCCAATCCAGGTTCAAGGCATCTGGTAGGAGGCAGTACTTGTGGTGGGGTTGCTTGTAGCCGGTGTTGGTCTGCACGGCCGAGGCATGCTTAGCGTGCGCCACGCTCAACATGTCCACCGGCGAGTGGTACTTGAGCTTGGCCTTGTGGTAGTCCTTCTTGTAGTTCTTGTCGCTCTGGTGCTTGGCCACCTCCATGTAGTGGACCAGCAGGGGGTCGTCCTGCAGACTACGGAAACCCACGTGGTGGCCTCGATCCTTCTCGTACGCTTTCTTGTACTGCACCTGGAGGCGGGATTGCGGTGTTTTGCTTAGCAGAGATGGGGAACTCAAAAAGACGGCAATTTGAGGACTTTAAATATGCTTTTGATAAAATTAAGAGGACAAAATAGAGATTGGCAGCATGTAAGGTTCACAAGTCAAAAATAAGAGACACACTAAAATATCAAGCTTCAACCATCTCTACAAAATCCACAAAGGCAGGTAAGCCACATTAACTCCACAGCTTAGTTCATCGATAGCAAGTCACACATTAATTAGGCTTCTTGTCCGTTACACGTTTAATTGACAAGACATACAAGTGACAGACAATACAAAATTTTGTGTTTTGAATAGGGATGGGCCACTACAAATACCAAGTATCTGTGTCGGGCCGATACCGGCTTTATTTTCAGGAGTTTGTACTTGTACTGCAAAAAAATAAAGGGGAGAAATCTCAGATGGGAACAGTTGAAGACGCTGGGGCCGCCTAAGGAGGAGCACGTTGACCACTCACATTGCGGGCGATGTCTCTGGAGGG